CTGTGGAGAAAGGGGAACCCTCCTACACTGCTGGTGGGAATGCAGTTTGGTGCAGCCACTGTGGAAAACAGTATGGGGATTCCTCAAAAGACTAGGAATAGACTTACCGTATGACCCAGGAATCCCGTTCCTGGGCATATATCCAGAAGGAACCCTACTTCAGGATGACACCTGAAAAATGTTAATTTAAACTTTTAAAATAATAAAAAAAAAAGGAATAACGATAGAAGTTCAATGATATTTGGCTTGAAGCCTTTGAAATCTGAAAAATTGCCTTTTCATAGTCTTTTTTCTGCCCTCTAACCATATCTGAAGGAAATATACACAGAAGGATAAATGTTGTTTCATTTTTAGTTGAGCTGGTTTCCAGTTCCCTACCTCTTCCCTCCTCAGCTACCCAGCACAAGTAAAACTGAGTCTGATGCCACAGATCAGATTCAAGTGGGAGGGACTTTTCTGTCCTCGCTTGTCCACATGTCATTCACTTTCCAACATTATAGGAAAGAAGCAGGAAAACAGGCAAGTTGGATGTATAGATTTTCATGTGGTAACCCCTCTGCTTAGTACACATCACTGCATTGCTGTCATCATCTTTAACACACATTATTTGTTCCTTCACCTGGAGTTGACAGAATGATGGATTTCTTTCCCTATCCTTTATTATTCTCCTTATTGGCATAACATTAATAAAAACATTGACTTTCCCTCAAAGGTGGAGACTTTATTTGCTATAAGGTGTGCGGGTGTGAGACCACACACAGAGGAATGTTGACACAGTGAAGCTTCTGGAGGAACGTGGTAAAGATGTTGGAGAACCATGAGGAAAGGTTGTTGGAATCAGAGAAGTTTAACCTAGCAGGGAAAAGACTAATGGGGATAAATGAGAATTGTTGCACTTTAGAGAAATTCAGTTTATTCTTTCTGGTAAAAGGTATAGAAACTTGCTTAAGTGACACAGATAGTGAATGATGTGGCTAATATTGGAAACCCAGGTTGCTTTTCTAGTATACTAATAAAATTTCCCAAATCATGGATGTAAAATAATTAGTTGTCTTGATTGTCATCCACCAAAACAAAATATCCAACACAAGGGCAGGAGGATGCTAATGACATTCCAACCTCCTGAGAAGGCCAAAGGGAAAGTCATTTCCCCTGGAGGTCTCTCCCTCCATGTTCTCTCTAGGATGAAGCTCCTATGTATTGTGACAACCAAGAACCATCTGAATAAACCAATAAATTTTTTGCTTTCTAGCATAAGGGCAATGCTACCTCAAGTTTCAATGAAGAAAACCTTATCTCCAGCACCCTGGACCTCTTCTTCGCTGGAACGGAGACAACTTCGACGACACTGCGCTGGGGTCTGCTCTACATGGCCTTCTATCCAGAAATCCAAGGTGAGTGCGTCAGTGGGTGTGCCTGGGCCAGGTCAGGATGGTGCCTTCTCAACACTTCCCAAAATTCAGGCCAGAAGACAAATGGTATGATGGAGAGATGGTAGGGCAGTCACAGCACCAGGTGGACTGGAGAACAGGCACATTCTTCAGTTTTTCTGTCAGGATTGTGATGGGTCCATGTAATACAAATATAACAGAATATCCCTGCTCTTAGGAAACTCCCAGTCTAGTGGGAAAAACAGTGAAGTCCATTGACATTGTGGTTGGTTCCCAGAAAGGGTTACATTCCGTTCACTGATGAAATCTGGTCCTCACCTTTCCTCCTGTTAAGTCATGTCTTCCACTGCCCTGTGGATGATGTTCAGACTCCTGGGTCTGGTGTATCCTTCCCTGTGATGTACCCCTTCCTGCCTGTTCAACCTCAACCCTACCCACCCAACATAGTGGCCTCACTAAAAACATGTGTTTTTCGTTGCACTATCCTTATTTATGCCTCTGTACCATCACACCTGCTCCTCCCTAGAAGAATAACACAAGAAGGTATTTTCCTAGTTTCTCTACACAGTAAACCACTACCTCTGCATGAGGAATCTACTCCAGTATAACCTCCCCTCAGATGTTTTCCCCACTTTCTAGGAAACTACTACCAGTTCCCTCCTTCAGAGATGACCGAATGCGCCTCCATCACTTTGCTTATGACACATGATTTATGTATCTTTCCCACAGGCTGCAGTCCATTTGAGGACAGTGATTCTTGCAATCATTTTTTCTCTCTAGACCCCAGAACAGGTTGAGCACATGAGGGATGAGATCTTTTAGGATACTGTCTTTGAAACTGTGGGTAACAGCTTATTATCAGGACATAAAGTTAATTTTGTGGATCAAGACCAACAATTTTTTCTGAAATAAAAATAGATTAGAAAAGATCAGTGTTTCCTCTGTACTAAGGATGTTTCTTTTTTCATAATTAAATATATGTATGTATATTATACATAAAGTTATGTTTTATTTATGTATATTTATGCTTATGTGTCCTGAGTCATGATGTAAAATGCATTTGTAACTGCAATTTGCAGTATTTTTTTTTAGTTTAAAAGCCACCTGGTTAGTATAGATTTGGTTTCTAAAATAGAGGCTCCAAAATAATGATGGCTTAAAACGACATAAAAAGGGGATCAACCCAAGTGTCTATCAATGGATGAATGGGTAAACAAACTGTAAAGTGCAATGGAATGTTATTCCACCTTAAAATGTTAAAATTGTGACAAATGATACTACTGGGATAAACCTTGAGGACATTATACTAAATTAAATAATCCAGTCAAAAAAGGGCATATACTGTATGATTCTATTTATGTGAGGTATCTAGAGTGGTTGAACTCATAGAAACAGGAAGTAAAATGATGGTTGTCAGAGACTGTGGGTAGGGGAAAATGGGGAATCTTGGTTGAATGGATATAGAGTCTCAGTTGTTCAAGATAAAAATATTGTGGAGATTGATTGCACATAAATATGTATATACTTAATATTGTTAAACTGTACACTTAAAAATGGTTACAATGTTAAATTTTCTAATTTTTATCAAAATTGAAAAAATTCAATGGTTAGTAAAAAAAAAATGAAGTTTATTTATCTCTCAAGAGAAAAAATCTGGGGGAGATTGCCAAGACGGCAGAGCAGACAGATGCAGAGTTCACCCTCTCCCATGAACACATCAAAAACTCTGTCTACGTGTGGAACAATCTCACAAAATACCTACTGAATGTGGGCAGAATCTCTCTCACATTGGAAACACAAGGAAAATTCTCACAAAACCAAGCAGGGTAAAAAAAAAGGGGGGGGGGGATCAGTATTGGACCTGTCCCCTGGGGAGGGAGCATCAAAGAAGGAAAAGTACCCTCACCCTGGATAGCTTTCTCTCCAGTGGGGAGGTCAGCTGAGACAAAAAGAGAGCTTCAGAGCCTTGGAGGAAAAATCAGCAGCCCCTTGGCAGATAGAACTAAGAGAAACCAGCATAGAGGGTCCCTGAGATTGGTAGCCTAAGATGCGAGCTGGTGGGGACAGGCAGGGATTGGGACTGGAGCTCAGGCTTCCAGAGACAAACCTGAAGATAGGAATGGGGTTGACTGCACAGAGGTAGCTTCACGGGGCTGGACTGTGCACTGGTGGTTTTGTGGGCACAGAACCTGGGGGATACTAGGGCAGGTTGCCAACATTGCCATGGCTGATGTGGGGACAATGTCAGCAACACTGAAGTGGACTTTGGAAGCCTGCATAATGAGTGACAAACAACATAGTGCCCTCTATGGTGGGCATCTCCTGTGGAGGAATACTAAGTGGCTCCTCTTCCAATGGAAGTACTCCAGTCCTGCTTATCATACACCATAGCTCAGAAATGGGACTGGGAGCTTCTATTCCAACAACAGGACAGGAGACCCGGCCCCTGTCAGGCCTCTGACAACCACAGAGTGAAGAGGAGGCCCTGCTCAACAACCAGTGCAGGCTCTTGTCACCACAACACCAACCACACCCCCAATTAAGGGGATAACAGCCAGCTCACATGGAGGAAAGATGTGGCAACCATCCATACTAAAAACAGCCCTCAAGACAAAAATATTGAATTCACACATTCTACACAGGGATGCTCCCACATTAAAAAAGAAAACAGCCCTTTAAGATGACAGTAGATAACTGTTACTCCTAAATTCATAGAGTCACAGAAATATAAGTAAGATGAAGAAGCATACAAACCATTTCTAGTTCAAAGAATGAGAGAAATCCCCTGAAAGAATGAACAATGAAATGGACCTCAACAGTCTACTAGATCCTGAGTTAAAAAGGAGGTGATAAAAGCACTGAAGGAAATAAGAGAGGTAATCGATAGAAATGCAGAATGCTATAAAAGGGAAATAGAAACTATAAAGAGGAACCAATTAAAATCAGAAAATGTAATCGCTGAGTTTAAAGCTGAGCTAAAGGCAGTCAAAAGCAAACTAAATAATGCAGAAGGAAGAATAAGTGATTTAGAAGAGACAGTAACAGAAATCACCCAATCAGAACAGCAGACAGAAAAACAAATGAAAACAAATGAAAGAAATATAAGAGACCTTTGGGATAATATAAAGTGTGCCAACCTATGCATAATAGGGGTCCCAGAAGAAGAAGAAAGAGAAAAGGGTATGGAAAATGTATTTGAAGAAATCATGACTGAAAACTTCACAAACATAAAGAAGAAAACATATCCAAGTACAGAAAGTACAGAGGGTCCCAAATAAGATGAACCCAAACAGACCTACACCAAGGCATATTCTAATTAAGATGGCCAAATTTAAAGGTAAATGATTCTAAAGGCAGCAAGAGAAAAACAAAGAGTTACTTACAAGGGAACCCCATAAGGCTGTCAGCTGATTTCTCTACAGAAACATTGCTGGCCAGAAAAGGGTGGCAAGATATATTCAAAGTCATTCCCACCAACACTGTAGGAGGGTTCCCTTTTCTCCACATTCTCCAGCATTTATAGTTTGTAGACTTTTTAATGATGGCCATTCTGACTGGTGTGAGAGGTGATATATCATTATAGTTTTGATTTGCTGGAATAGTAATTAGTGATGTTGAGCATCTTTTCATGTGCCTGTTAGCCATCTGGATATCTTCCTTGGAGAAATGTCTATTTAGGTGTTCTGCCCATTTTTGGATTGGGTTGCTTGTTTTTTCAATATTAAGCTTTATGAAATGTTTGTATATTTTAGAAATCAATCCCTTGCTGGTTGCATTATTTGCAAATATATTCTCCCCTTTTGTAGGGTGTCTTTTCTTTTTGTTGATGGTATTCTTAGCTATGTGAAAAGCTTTTAAGTGAACCAGGCCCATTTAGGTTTGCTTTTATTCCTATTACTCTAGTAGCTGGTTTGAAAAAAACAAATTGCTGCAATTTATGTCAAAGAGTGTTCTGACTATGTTTTCTTCTAGGAGTTTTAGAGTATATGGTCCTACATTTGGGTCTTTAATCCTTTTGGAGTTTATTTTTATATTTGGCATTAGAGAATGCTCAAATTTAATTCTTTTACATGTAGCTGTCTAGTTTTCCTAGCACTACTTATTGAAGAGACTCTTTTTTCTCCATTGTATATTCTTGCCACTTTTGTCATGGATTGACCATAAATATTTGGATTTATTACTAGACTTTCTATCCTGTTCCATTGATCGATGTGTCTTTTTTTTTTTTTTTGCCCATACTGTACTGCTTGATGACTGTAGATTTGTAATATACTCTGAAGTCAGGGAGTGTGATTCTTCCAGCTCCATTCTTCTTTCTCAAGAATGTTTTGGCTATTTGGGGTCATTTGTGTTTACATACAAAATTAAAAATTTTTGTTCCAGTTCTGTGAAAAATGACATTGGTAATTTGATAAGGATTGCCTTGATTAGTGTGGCCATTTTAACAATATTTATTCTTCCCATACAAGAATGTGGTATATCTTTCCTTCTGTTTGTGTCATCTTCAATTTCTTTCATTAATGTCTGATAGTTTTTGGAGTACAGGTTCTTTACTTCTTTAGGTAGGTTCATTCTCAAGTAATTTATTCTTTTTGATGTGATGGTAAATGAGATTATTTCCTTAATTTCTTTTTCTAATATTTTGTTGTTAGAATATAGAAATAAAACTGACTTATGTATAATAATTTCATATCCTGCAACATTACTGAATTAATTGATGTGTTCTAGTAGTTTTCTGGTAGTGTCTTTAGGATTTTCTGTGTAGTATCATGTCTTCTGAAAACAGTGACAGTTTATTATTTCTTCTTTTCCAATTTGGATTTCTTTTATTTCTTTTTCTTCTCTGATTTCTGTGGCTAGGACTTCCAAAACTATGTTGAATAAAAGTGGTGAGAGTGGGCATCCTTGTCTTATTCTTGATCTTAGAGGGAATGTTTTCAGCTTTTCACCATTAAGTATGATGTTAGCTGTGGATTTTCTTATATGCCCTTTATTATGTTGAGGTATGTTCCCTCTATGCCCTGGAGAGTTTTTATCATAAATGGATTTTGAATTTTATCAAAAGCTTTTCTGCATCTATTGAGATGATCACATGGTTTTTATTCTTCAATTTTATAATGTAGTTAATCACATTGATTGATTTGTGGATATTGGAAAATCCTTTCATCCCTGGGTTAAATCCCACATGCTTATAGTGTATTATCCTTTTGATGCATTGTTGGAGTCAATTTGCTAGTATTTTGTTAAGGATTTTTGCATCTATATTCATAAATGATATTGGCCTGTAATTTTTTGTGTGATATTTTTGTCTGGTTTTGCTTTCTGGGTGATGTTGGTCTCATAGAATGAGTTTGGAAGTGTCCCTTCTGCAATTTTGTGGAATAGTTTCTGAAGGATAGGTGTTAACTCTTCTCTAAATATTTGGAAGAATTTGCCTGTAAAGCCATCTGGTCCTGAACATTTGTTTGTTGAGTTTTTTAATTACTGATTTGATTTCAGTACCGGTAATTGGTCTATTCAATCTTGGCAAATTGTAACTTTCTAAGAAATTGTCCATTTCTTCTAGGTTGTCCTTTTTGTTGGCATATAGTTGCTCATAATAGCTTCTTATAATCCCTTGTATCACTGTGGTGTTGGTTGTAACTTCTTTTTCATTCCTGATTTTAGTAATTTCTGCTTTCTCCCTTTTTTTCCTGATGTGTTTGGCTAAAGGTTTATCAATTTTGTTTATTTTTTCAAAGAACTAGCTTTTAGTTTCATGTTTTTTTTTCTATTTTTTTAGTCTCTATTTCATTTATTTCTGCTCTGATCTTTATGATTTCTTTCCTTCATCTAACTTTGGGTTTTGTTTGTTCTTTCTTTAATTGCTTTAGGTGTTGTGTAGGTTGTTTATTTGAGATTTTTCTTGTTTCTTGAGGTAGGCTTGTATCGCTATAAACTTCCTTTTGAGAACTGCTTTTGCTGTGTCCCAGAGGTTTTGGATCATTGTGTTTTTGTTTTCATTTATCTCTGAGTATTTTTTGTTGTTGTTGTTTGTTTCCTCTTGATTTCTTCAGTGATCCATTGGTTTTTTAGTAGCATATTGTTTAGCCTCCACATGTTTGTGGGGTTTTTTGCAGTTTTAGCTTGTAGTCGATTTCTAATGTCATAACATTATGTTTGGTAAAGATGTTTGATATGATTTCAGTCTTCTTAAATTTATCAAGGCTTGCTTTGTAGGCCAGCATGTAATGTATTCTGGAGAATGCTCCATGCCCACTTGAGAATAATGTGTATTCTCTTGCTTTCAGATCAAATGTTCTATAAATATCAATTAAGTACATGTGGTCTAATGTGTCATTTAAGGCCTATATTTCCTCACTGATTTTCTGTCTAGATGATCTTTCTATCGATGAGGAAAGTGAGGTGTTGAGGTCCCCAAGTATTATTATGTTATTGTCAAATTCTCCTTTTATGTCTATTACTATTGCCTTATATATTGAGGTGCTCCTATGTTGGGTGCATATTTATTTACAACTGTTACATCTTTTTCCTGGATTGATCCCTTGAGCATTAAGTAGTGTCCTTCTTTGTCTCTTGCAATTGTCTTCATTCTAGAATCTATTTGTCTAAGTATTGCTCCTCCAGCTTTCTTTTGGTTTCCATTTGCATGGAATATCATGCTAATATTGGGAGCAAGACAAAGATGCCCACTCTCACCACTTCTGTTCAACGTAATATTGAAAGTCCTCACCATAGCAATCAGACAAAAAAAGAAATAAAAGGGATCCAGATTGGAAAAGAAGAGGTAAAATTGTCACCATATGCAGATGATATGATACTGTATATAGAAAATCCTAAAGACTCCGCACAAAAACTACTAGTGCTAATAAAAGAATTCATCAAAGTAGCAGGCTACAAGATTAATATATAGAAATTAGTTAAATTTCATTACACTAACAATGAAATATCAGAAAAATAAAGTAAAGAAACAATCAATTTTAAAATATAATGAAAAAAATACTTAGGAATAAACCTGACAAAGGAGGTGAAAGACTTATATTTGGAAAATGAAACATTGATTAAGGAAATTAAAAATGATTTAAGGAAATGGAAAGATAGCCCATGCTCTTGGATTGGAAGAATTAATATTGTTAAAATGGCCGTACTACCCAAAGCAATCTACAGATTTAATGCAGTCCCTATCAAATTACCCAGAATATTTTTCACAGAATGAGAACAAACCTAAAATTTATATGCAATCACAAAAGACTTCCAAATCTTCCAGAATTCCAAAGCAATACTGAAGAAAAAGAACAAAGAGAGAAATAACCCTCCCAGACCTCAGATAATACTACAGAGCTACAATAATGAAAACAGTGTGGTGTTGGCACAAAAATAGCTATAGGGATCAATGGAACAGTATAGGGAGCCCAGAAATAAATCCACAGACATATGATCAACTAATCTTTGACAAAGAAGGCAAGAACATATAATGGAGAAAAAACATTCTCTTAGGCAAGTAGTGTTGAGAAGGCTGGACAACAGCATATAAATCATTGAAGGTAGGACAGTCCACACATCATACATCTAAATAAACTCAAAATGGCTTAAAGAATTAACCATAAGACAAGGCAGTATGTACCTCCTATAAGAAAACCATTGGCAAAATATTCTCTGACATAAATCTTAGCAGTGTTCTTCTAGGCAGTCTACCAAGGCAATAGAATAAAAAGCACAAATAAACAAATGGGACATAATTAAAATTAAAAGCTTTTGCACAGCAAAGGAAACCATAAACAAAAGACAACCCATGAAATGAGAGAAAAATTAGCAAATGATGTGACTGACAAAGGCTTAACTTCCAGAATATACAAACAACTCATACAACTTAATAACAACAACAAAAATCCGAACAATCCAATCCAAAACTGGGCATAAGAACTCAACAGGCAATTCTTCAGCTAAGACATTTATATGCAAAGATACAACTGGCAAGGGCTTCATTTCCAGAATATATAAACAGGTCATACAACTTAATAACAAAAAAAAACCCAGTCCAAAAATGGGCAGAAGACCTAAAGAAGCAATTCTCTAATGAAGACATACAAATGGCCAATATGCACATGAAAAAATGTTCAATATCACTAATTATTAGAGAAGTGCAAATCAAAACTACAATGAGGTATCACTTCACACCATCAGTATGGCCATCATTAAAAAGTCCACAAATGATAAATAGTCACAATAACAGGTTTTTTTCATTTGTTGTATATGCCCCTAAATCACTTCATATAAATCTCAAAACATCCTAAAGATGAAAGTATAGTTATCCTCATTAATAAGAAAAGGAAACTGAGGCTTAAGGTTTTCAGTAACTTGCAGCAGGAATGTTGAGCAGCAAGAATTTGCAACCAGATTTGTGTTAAACCAGGGCCCACTTTGCACTCAGGTACCTCTCTCAGAAGCTACCGTCTACACAGCCTGCTATAACTCTAGCCATTTTGATCCTGGTTACTTCATTCCTTAGCTGAACCAGGCTCAAGGAGGATAATGAATATTAGAATAATAGAACTTTCTCTGCTTTTCCAGAAAAAGTGCAGGCTGAGATCGACAGGGTGCTTGGCCAATGGCAGCAGCCAAGCACAGCAGCTCGGGAGTCCATGCCCTACACCAACGCTGTCATCCACGAGGTGCAGAGAATGGGCAACATCATCCCCCTGAACGTGCCCAGGGAGGTGATAGTGGACACCACGCTGGCTGGATACCACCTGCCCAAGGTAACGAGGGCCTCCCTCGCGGCCTCAGGTCTCCACGTTCCTATTTTTCAGTGGTGGGACTCTCACCTGGGACAGTGACTTGGATGCTCATCCTGGGGAGTCACTTAAATGGGGACAGAGATATTGTACCTGGTATCATGGTCGTTCTCTGTGTGTGATCTTTAGAATGTCAGTTCAGCAAGACGTTAATAGGTATTGTGGAGGGGAGGGGACTCCTAGGTCAAATGTGTTCAGGCAAAGCCTGTTTTTCTTCATTCATGACATTTCTCGATGGTTTTACTATGTGATGCACATTCTCTATGGGGAGAGAGCAAGCAGCTGTTCCCAGTCAGACTTTACCGTGGAGTTTTTTTCTCTGCCTTGGTAGAGCTCCTCACAGGACTAGGGACCTCCCAGACCTATGGAAAATTCTGCTTCCAGTTGCTGGGGTTATACAGAATATTGATGTATGAAGGGACATTTGAGACCACCTGAATCCACGTCACATTAAGGATGGTGTTTCTAACATGATATACCCACAAGTATTTTTCCAGCTTTGACCTACAGCCCTGTGATGGGACTATCACCTCACAAGGGAAACGGTCCAAGTGTGTGCCCTGTTAAACATCAGAAAAGGACAGAAAGGAATCAATGCTTCTTAAGTCGTGATTATGTACCATGGATTATATAGGTTCTTTCAAAATGTCTCCATCAGTCCTCAGAATTATTCCGTTAGTCCTAGTTCATAAATTTGAAGTCGAGGCAGAGAGTGAATAAGCTTGCCTGAGGTGTCTCAACTACAAAGTGAGTGCCAGGAACAGACCTGTTGTGATTCGCAGGCGTATCTTGCTTGTACAGCACCAGGTTCTCTCCACAGGAGAGGCTTTACTTTGAATTTAAAGGAGTCTCCCTGCAATTGTTCTCAGATGGCCCCTGTTAAACTCCCTGTCCTCACAAACAAAATTCTGCCCTCACTCTGCCCCCAAACTTAGGATCTGGACAGACCACTCCCCTCAGAGGTGGAGGTAAAGGGAGGTCATGCAGGTAAAACATTTAGCTTAGTGCTTCGTATAGAGAGTGTTCCATATAGCAGTTATTGTGCTTTATCAATTCAACAAATGTCCATTTAGCACCTAAAGTGTTCAGGCATTGGAAAAGAAGTTGGGAAAATAATTATCCGAGTTTCTAATTACAAACCATGATAACTGCCACTGGAAAAAACTGGTTTCTCTAAAGAAGCAGGCTGCTGGGGTGGGGAGTGGGAGCAGGGTGGGCAGAGAAGGCTTCCAAAAGGAAGTGATGTTTGAGCTGAGGATTAAAGGATGATTAAGAGTGAATTTAGTGACATAAAGGGGAGGAAGGACATTCCAGGCAAGGGGAACACCCTTTAAAAGGTATGGACATGAGTGGGTACCTGTGGTGAGTGTGCACAATTGCAAAAAGCTCCCTGTAGTGGAAGTGCAGACAGAGGGAGGGGCTCAGACAAGGGCAGGTGATGCATGCTTCATCTAAGATTGACAGGGAGCTACTGAGGGTGTCTGTCAAGTTCTAGATGTGCTGGGTGGATGGGTGTGACATGATGAAGACCTATTTAAAGGTAACTTTGCTTTCAGAGTGGGGAACACATTGAAAGGGGAAAGAGAGGATATGGGGTATAGTTAGACAGCTATTTAGGGAAGCAAGAGGGTAACCTGGACCAGGGTGGCAGTGGTGGACCTAAAAGGGAGGTGACAAAATCAAGAGAAATTTAAAGCAAACTTGACCAATCTTGCTGAAGAATTGGATGAAGGCAGAATGAGGGAAAGGGAGGTATTAAGGGGAACTCCTGGGTTTCTTGCTATGTATCTGGAAGGATAGTGATTCCTTCACTGGATGACCTGATTCTCTTGTTCAGCCTTCTGTGGGATGTACTAGACAGTGGAGGAAGGGAATGGGAGACACAAAGATACGTGAGGCATTTTTGCCTTGAAAGAGCTGCTACAATACTTATCACTTCAGGGAGCAGCTGGGTTCGTTTTAGTACAATATTGACTGGAAAGTGTCACAATTTTATCTCATTGATGCACACATGTTCCCTCCAAAGTTCTACACTGACATGTCCCTGGAGAGATCTATTCTGCAGTTATGAGTGGTCACACTTCCCTGGAAAAATTCCCACAAGACACTTTCATCCGCCATTGTAATCTGTCCCCTGGCAAAGAGCAGGGTCCTAGAGGTTGGGCTTAGAAGATGGTGAGTAACGGAGGTTGAGGGGGTTCACGGTGCTGTCAGATTTTGGTGTGGGAGCCCAGGGGACACCTGCCCCTCTACACAGGTGTGTTGTGTGGGTCAAGCCTTGCCTGAGTCTTTGCTGCCTTTTCTAGGGAACTACAGTCCTGACCAACCTGACCGCACTGCACAGGGACCCCACAGCGTGGGCCACCCCAGACACGTTCAATCCGGAGCACTTTCTGGAGAATGGACAGTTTAAGAAAAGGGACGACTTTCTGCCTTTCTCAGTAGGTGAGTTGCAATAAATAGGAATGTGGGGACCCAGAGCCCCTCTCTCAGCCCCTCCCTCCTCTTTTCCCTGGAGTGCTCTGCTCTTGCTGGAATGTCTTCGCTGGTCAGTTAACAACTTAAACGTTGAGAATTATATTTTATTCAGGGTATTACTGAGGATTATACCTGGGGAAGGCGGCCTCTTAGGTAACTCCTAGGGACTGTTCCCAAGAGGCAAGGAAAGAGTTGGGATATGTAGGAGTTTTTGCTGAATAAAACCATTTAGTCAAACATCAAAAGATGACTTCTAATCACCAAAAAAAAAAAAAAAAAAAGCTCAAAAAATAAAAAACCCATACATCCAAGTTAATGATTTTAGTGCAAGAAACTATTCCTATAAATGCTTCTTTATACTCTAGGGCCAGTATCCTGTTTTTCTCCATCCTGAATTCCCCGCAGGGTGCACCACTGGGGGCAGCTGCAGTGGCTGATGGCTTGATGGAGGGCAACATTCATTGTTTACCAGAAAGACAGGCAACAGTTTCTGTCCACACCAGACAGGCCTGCCCAGCGGGACTCCCTCTTGCTGTTGCTGCACCTCCGGGTTCCCTGGGTTGAGCATCACCAGGACTCATGCCCTTACTTCCTAAGTCCTGGCTTGACTGATGCAGATTTCACCTTCACATTGTTCTCTGTCCCCAAGAACACTGGGGACAGAAGCTCAGAACCTGCCTGTTGTCCATAAAGAGGATCGGACTCTTGCCATCTTTATAGAGTTTTTAAATGTCTCAAGTTCTTTTTATGAGCCACCCACTCACACAGAACCTGACCCGGTTTCTAAGCAGGGGGTGGGGGAGGGGCAAAGAAAGGGGCCGATTCCTTATCCTTCTGGGCATCACCAGTGACTAAGTGCCACAGCCTTACCTAGATGGGATCCTACTCTATAACTGCTCCCTGAAGAGGTCCTGTTGCCCCTTTTAAAATTCTAATCACCCTTTAAAAGCTTAGTTAATACATTAATATAGTGCACAACTTGACAAGTACAAAAGAGGATACAGTGAAACTCTCACAAATTTCAAAGCCAGCCAGTTCCTGAGGATGTTTTAACTTATGCATTGTCAAATGAATAAGAAAAATTCTTAGTATATGCCAGGTATTGAATCAGGAATGTTGCAGAGATCATTTTAACTAATTTGCCAATTTCTTAAATCTATAAATATTTCATGAGCATCTATTATGTAAGCATTCAGCCCTGAGGATATAAAAATGAATGCCGTAGGGGAAAAAAAACTTTTCTCAATAAGCATGTGTTCTAGTGTAATCTTACAGGTTCAAATTTCTATCACCATTTTAGAAATAAGAAAACTGAAGCTTACTAGGGACAGCTGTGGCATCTGAAGTCATAAGGCTCATATGGCAGAGCTAGAACTCAATGTTAACCAGGTTTATCAACAACTGAAGTCTGTGCTCTTCCTACCAGTGTCTCCTAGGAAAAGTAATTAAATGCTACATTGAGCTGACACTCTGAAATTTATCATAGCTTTCTTATGGTAATTTAAAAGATAAATATAGATTGATTTTCTGAGACAGTATTGTTTGCTGATGATACCACTAAGGCACAGAAAGGAAGGACCAGAATTTGACCCATGCTGTATGACATTGTCCTAAGTGTACCTGGACTGATTCTGATTAAATCTTCTTTGTCTATCTTCATGTGGTTCTATGTCACCTTTGCTCACAATGGACCAGTCATCTCCTAATTTGAAAGCAGATATGAGATGTAGGAATACCCTCCAGTCTTCCTGTCTAAGAGGGCTTCAGGTTTTGTATTATAGTACAAAGTTGGTGCTGTATGTATCAAGTATTATAATTATTCTTGCCTCTCTGTTTTTATTTGCTGTTCAGAGTTGTAACCAACCTTTTTAATCTCTGACTTCACACACAAGTAATTATCTCATTTAATCCTTATATCAACCCAGTTATTAATATTTAAATAGGCAATGAATCAGCATCTCCTTTCTTAATACAAAGAAACTAAGAATAAGTGAGAGTTGTTCCTTATTCAAGATCATGTACCCAAGGAATTGGCAGAACAGGGCTAAAGACTCAAGTCTTTATCCTTCTAATCCAGTGCTTTCTCTAGCACATTAGAATGTAAATCATTTCTGACTTAAAGGCTCTTCCACTTGAAGATTCACTGAGTTCTTACCATGTGTATCAGTTATTATAATGCTGCATAACAAACAGTCCAAAACTCAGTAACTGAAAACAAGAAGTGTCTATTATTGCTTATAAGTCTGCAGTTGAGCCAGGTAGCTGGACTGGTCTTAGCTGTGCTGTCTTACATGTCTGGGAGCTCAGCTTGCTGAAGGCTGAACTAGGATGATCTCACCTGTGACAAAGGGGCTCTTTTCCAACTTTTCGCTCATCCTCCAGGAAGCTGGCCCTGCTTGTGTGCATGTTGAAGGTAATTTCCCAAGATGGAGAATGGAAGCACACAGTGCCTCTATAGGCCAGACTGGGAACTGCTGACCATCAGTCCCACTGCACTGTTAAGTCCTAAGGTCAGCCCCAATTCAAGGGGAAGGGAAAATAGCACTTTTTTTTTTTTTAATGGGAAGGGCTATGAAATAACATTGCAAATCATGTGGCCTCAGAGAGAGGGGAGGAAATTGAAGCCATTTTTGCAATCAGTTGGTGTCACTATCTGTCTTTCTGCCAGAGAAGAATGAAATAAAGTGAAGACAAACATTTGGGGAATGCCTCCGTTGTGACAGAATGAGGACTCGCTACACAGAACTGGAAATAGAAACCTGACAGTCTACTGCGTTAAAATGCCAACACCACTGTCAGGTTGTTCCCACCACTCTCCCTTCTTGGGCACACGGTTTCTTTGCCTCCTTCTTGATCTAGCACTTTGTAAAGACAGCCTCCCTGAAGGGATGGCGTGTGCTCCGCCTCAGCCCTCTTCTTGGAAAAGTTGACCTGGTGTGGCATTAAAACATGTGCACAATCAGGGCCAAGAGCAAACCTATTACTGCAAGTTTATATTTTCTTTTCCACTTTTAAGTTGTTCTCTCTTGAAGCAACAAAGCAGCAGACAGCTTCATGAAAGACAAGAGACTGATTCCTCGTTTTCCAAAAAAATCATCGGCTCATAGGAAGAAATTTTTCCCAAAACCGTAGGTCAGTTGTCATTTTACTAATGACATAATTGACCTGGTTTCTTAGCGATGGCCAGTTAGTGGAAGCACCAAAGAGAAAAGCCCTGGTTTCCTGTAATTCTGGAGGAAGCTTTGAAATTAATAGCCCTTGGTTCATGATTTTAAAAACAAAATCATAGCTGCTTCTCATTGCTCTCCTTGCCCAGCTACATAACATAGTTAGGAAAAAAATAATTTCAGGTTTGACAAGTGAGAAATGTTTAGCTCTATGAGAATAAAGGGTTTCTTCATAGTGCACTGGTGGTTTCTGATGGAACCAGTTCTGTAAGCCTGGTTCCTGGTCTCTGGGTCCAGTTTTGTTGTGATAGCTGGATTCTTCTAGGAGAAACGTGGGTATTTACAATTCAGCTGATTTCGTCCCATTTTCATGAACTTCCTCATTGTAGTATTTGTGATGGGGAAAGAGATGAGGATGAGGGGAAGAGAGAGGATTAGACACATGCTGATGGGAAACACAGTCACAAAATAAAACAATAATGACGTAATTCTGAAGCACGCTTACATATATTAAACTCTTTTGCAGATATTCTCTAATTTTATTTCCTCAGCAACTCGTTAACAGGCAGAGGACAATATGGAGGCGTGCACACAGTAACGGTTTTCCTAGGTTGTTTCATTACATGGGCAAATACCAAGCGGCAAAACATCGCACAGAGTTAGTGACAGAGAATACTCCCAGGGCAGGTGCGCAGGGGAATCCTTACAAGGACAGGGAGGAAATAGGTCAAAATGTTAACAAAGATTTTGCCTGGATTATAGAATTATCAACATCTTTACTGTATTTGTACCTTCACACCTTTTTTTTCTATTTGTGGTGAACATGTATTACCTGCAGAGGAAGTAAGTTATTAAAACACACACACAGGATACCGTGGTTAAGACCAGTGTAGGGTGCTGTAGCATAAGTGGGGTGAGGAGGGCATTCAGAAAGGGGAGAGGCGGCGGAAGCCTGGAGCAGGTGTCAGGTGGGGCCTACCCTGAGCAGGGGAATCATGGCAGAGAGATCCCAAACATTAAGAAGGAAACTCTGACGGAGGGAAAAGGTGTCTTCCTTGTACCTGAGAAACGTGGCTCTAACATTTACTTGCTTTTCCTTTTCAATAGTTTTCTTTTAAGATTTGAAAAAATAATTAACACAGTGTTTTGTTTGTCTTTGTTGTTTGCTACTGAAGTTTTGAAAGACTTTAGACTATATTCCACTTATTAAGACCAGCCAGACCTCTCACTTCTTTCTTCCACACCCTGAACCTTCACACCTGTGCTCACCTGCCTGCGCCTTGGAGGCACTGGAGTGTGTGACTGTGGATGGATGCTTTCTGTGCCTTGGTTAACTCAGGTGGTTTTGGTCAAATAAGCCAAGTCCATTAAGCCCCAGGGCCCAGCAGGCCCTCCGTTTGCTCAGGTTTTGCAAGACGTGGTGGAAGGTTTCAGTCGTTGCTGGGCACAGACACCACCTGGGAAGGTAACGCGTCTTATGTTTTTGTCTTTCAGGAAAGCGGGTGTGTCTTGGAGAGCAGTTGGCCAGGTCTGAGTTGTTCATTTTCTTTACTTCCCTTGTGCAAAAATTCACCTTCAGGCCTCCAGACAATGAGAAGCTGAGCCTCAAGTTCAGAATGGGCCTGACCATCTCCCCAGTCCCCTACCGCATCTGTGCTGTTCCCCGGAAGTGAGGTTGTCCGGGAGGCGGGGGGAGGGAAAGCCGGAAGAATCCCCAAGTCCCCCCAAGGCCCTGGCGCCTGCTGAGAAGTGAGGGAGCAGAATGACCTGCCTCTGAGAATGGTCCTAGGACTTGGACTCTGAGGAAACTGGATCAGTCCTCACCCCAGCTTTTCTATGATTCTAAAAGGACAGGCATTTAAATTCTCCCTGTGAAATAAATGGAAAATCCCTGGACACACATCCTAATCTATGGGATACACTGGGACCCAGAGCCAAAGGCAGAGTGACCACTTTTAGCCAGAAACCTTGAGGACCCATGATGGGTAGTAACTGAATTTTCTGGCCATGTAAAATGATTCATTTTCCCCTCTAATCTCACTGGGGAGACTCTAAAATACGAACTGTCTTCCTGTCCAAGTACGACACAGATTTTGTTCTCTGCACTTTGTAGCTCTCTCATTCCTCGTCTATTTTGGAAGCTCCAGGGCCCCCTTCCCTCTTGCTTTTTATCAGTGACACGTGATGTGCAAGCACATGACATTTCATATGTATTCATGGATAAGGCACAAATTTTGTCAAAAAACCACCCAGGATGTGAATTTTTTATAACCCCTGTCCTGCAGAGAGACACAGGCACACACTGCAGTGTAAGTTTAAAATCAGACTGGAGGTTGGGGGACTTACAAGCAGAGGAGCAGGACACTCAGGAGTCCCTCAGTGTGTATGGATGTTTCCAGGTCGGGCAGGGCTGGAATACGTGCACCGGGGAGAGGGGCCACCTCTCAGTGCCTTGTGGGTTTATAGACAGGAGTTGGGGGCTGACTAGGTGACTAAGTGACAATGACAGCTTCCTGGGTGAGTTTCCATGTTAGACCAGGGCTTTGTTAGGACAAAGAACTCCAGAGGTCTGCCTGAGTGTCTGGCTGTCTTCCCTGGAGATCATTCATGCCTACTTGTTGCTAAGCTACCAAGAGGGAAGGCGGGGTACTGGGAATGAGTGTCCAGAGACATTGGGGTTCTCTCTCCTCTACTGCTTTCTGTGACTTTGAGCAACATATTTAAACCACAAGCCTTGGTTTTCTTCCTCTCAAACATGGAACGGGGCCACCTATTACATTTCCCCATGCTTGTTCCCATGGAACAGAGTGATACCCTGGGATGGGTATTTTGTACCATCCTGGTCACACTGTGTTTTGGTACATTCACCATGAGCTACGTGTGCTACTGTGAAAACCTGAGAATGTTTCACTTTTGTTTTGAAACAGATAAGAAATCACACAGGAATAAAGGTTCAAATGCAAAGTGTCACTTTCAGGTTTGGGGACTAAATCGTTGATGATGCCTGCTACAATAGTCAGAGTCCAAAGAGAGGTTTCCCTTTGCCAAATGCGTCAGGGTCCAGAGATAGCACTGGGCTCTGATGCACATTAAACAACATTAAAAGACTCAGGTGGGTAGCACGGGGATTCAGATTAAATGGGGGTCACCGTTGTGTCATTAGGCTGCCCTGAATTCAATTCCAGGTTTTATCACTTGTTAACTTTTGGTTGTGAATTAAACAGGCATTTTACTTTCTTGATCCCATTTCTTAATCTGTAAAATAGAAAAACACCTGCTGTGAATTCTGAGACTGGTTCAAAGATCTGCTATCCTCTGGGTTGCCATCCTTTGTGGTGCTTCTCCCCATGGGACCATTGTATCTGACCACCCTGTTAGATGCAGGAATGACCATGTCATTGGCTTTGACCAATAAAATGAGAGCGAAGTTCCCCCAGTCACTTCTGACTTATTTTAAGAGCCATGGTTTTTTTTTTTCTTCTCTATCATGAGACCCAGCAATGTCCCAGATAAGTGTCTGTCAGCCTACACCCAGGAGACAAATAAAGCAGAGTCATAGCTGATTCAAGGTGGACATATGATGTGAAAATTAACCTGTTTTGCTGTGAGCCACTAGGATTTGGGATTGTTAGTTACCGCAGCATAAGTTATCCTAAAGTGTCTGACAAGCCTGCATTTTAGTTGCTAAGATGATCAAATATGTATGTGTGTGTGTGTGTATATATATATAGTTATTTTGTTTTATATATATTAAATACATATAATATAAATTTGTGTTATATGTAAATTAAATTACATAGCATATAAACATATTATTATATAAATATTTAATATAGAAATATAAATGTGATATGGATCTATATTAAACAAAGTAACAGTGTGCTTGGCATATAATAGATTAAACTGCAGTTGAAATGCTGTTACCATTTTTCAGAGGAAGCCTCCAGTTACTTCTGTACCTTTTTTTCTAGGGTATGTGATCCTTTCCTCACTGGGTTCACAGAACAATATACTCTCCTCCCTACTGACCTCAGGATCCTTATAAATCCTGTAGTGGGGCTGCCCCTTTGTCAACCCCCAGGACACCATCACAGGTGGTCCAGGTGAGCAGCGCCCTCTGGAGGTGGGCCGTGTACAGCCATGTGTGTGGCCTGCTCCTTAGCTGGGCACGTGGTGGTTTTGTGATCTGATATCTGCTCACCTCATCAATCACATCACTTCTCCTGCCAAACTGGTGAACTATCCAATCCCAGCAGGCCAGGTCCTTTATCATCTTCTTGTCTTTATATACTTTCTGTAATAAATGTCTAATTACACCCAGCAGACCCTGTTTAAATGCCAACTCTTCAGTGACATTTTCTGGACTGTCTCAGCCAGTTGATCCCTCCTCCATTCTCTGAGATTTTATTCAAAAGTTCCCATCTCCTGTTTCCATGTAATCTGCCAGTGACAGTGAGCTTTACGAGTGTGCCTTGCTCACCTACGCTCAGGACCTACAGGTTTGTACCAGAGTAGATGCTTGATAAATGCTGGGAGCTGAGATCCTATACCACAGTGCTTACACCTGGACAAACATATCCTTGAACAACAGAATACAGAGAAACTATAAGGGACTAAAAGTAACTGCATGAGCAGTTGGGGCAAATGATGAACAAGCAGATCAAAAAGGCCAAAACCCGACTGCCACTTCTGAGGTGTCAGGGGCAAGAGCCCTGTTCTCCCCGCGGTCCCTGCACACAGCGCTATCAAGGGGGTGGGCAGGCCACCTAAGCCTCCCTGACTGGTGGACCCACCAGTCTGCCCCTACCCTCACCCCCTTTAAGGGACCAGTTCACCTCCCCTCAGGGAGCAAGCAAGTGAACCAGTTACTTGTTTTCGCCCCCTCGTGCTGCAGCCTGAGTCTCAATAAAGCCTTGCTTGAATTTCTCATCTGGCCTCTTATCAATTTCTATAGATTAGAGTCCAGGAACCTAGGTTAGTAAAAAGCCTACTGGGGGTGAGAGGTGGGAAGGGTGGGCAGCTGAGTGACTACGGCAGAGCAGACAGATTCACCGTGCCGCCTGTCTGAGGGTCTGTCCTGCTGTGCCGCTGGCCTTTGAGCCTTCGTCAGGCACTCTGGAAGATGTGGACTTTAAAGACTGCTTGTTAAAGTCCCTCCTACTTCCACAAATCTGACTTCTGGAGAGAACCACTGAAATGGCAAAGTAAGGACGTTGACCTTCCAAAAATCCGCTCCTCCATAAAAGGAAATGTTTTTAAAATCAACATTTCCAGGCTCTAGATTTTAACGAAAGTTCTTGCAATAATCACAGTTGTTGCAAACAAGTCTTGGAACAAACTGTCCTTTTGCTAAAGGAAAAACAATACCCCAAAACAACTGAATCTCAGGAAGAACAGTGAGCTCTGTGGCATTTAACTTGTCCTGCTCCAGTTCTTCTCTCCCCAGCTCTACAATCTCCTTGAAAAGCAACAGTCTGGCAACTGTGGTAGCTGAGAACACCGGGGGCCAAGCAGGAACTGGAGGGAGCACCTCAAAGGCCTGGTGCCCGGAAAAAGGTCACTGTTGGCCTATCTGGCAGATCCCTGGAAAGCCTCACCCTCCAGGCTTCTGTTTACTTGACCTGCTTCCACGTCCAGTCTGTGTGAACCACTCACTCTACAAGGCATTCTGGGTTCAAATAAACCAGGGACAATTGTACAGCCTTGCAGGAACCTGAGGGGGCAACACCAGATCTGCTACCAAGAGAATTAAAAGGGAAAGCTGAGGAAGGAGATGCCCACTGGGGCTGCAGCAAGCTCTGCCATATCCCCGGGAACCTAGAAGGCTACCCACCTGCAAGGGCCGTGTGTGTGCCCAGGAGGGACCCGACAAGCTCTGGTGCTCGCATCTCTGGCTGACCTGGAACGTCTGCACAGGCAGGACATCAGGGCTAAGACGGAGTGTGACCCACCTGCTTGAGTGTTGACGGTGCACCCGTCTCACAGGCAGAGCCCTGAGAGACCTGCTGGTTCAGGCCTTTGAGGAGACCTCTGTGCACATATGAGCTGGACCCGCTGCTAACACCAGAGCATCCAGGGGCCTCACCTGATGAAGAGTGGAACGTTTACAGAATTAGTCCAAGAAAGTCACTAAAAGAAGCAGCAAAAGCAACAACACTAACAACAGACCTGGGGTGGTTCATGATGTCCAGATTTCCCACACTGTCATGTACAATGCCAGATACTCAACACAAAATTATGAACCATGTGGAAAAAACAGAAAGCTATCATCAACACACGGGGTAAAAAGCAACCAACAGAAACTGTCCCTGAAAAAGCCCAGACATTGGAATTACTAACACTTCAAAGGAGCAGTTTTAACAACTGTAATTATTAATGAATTTTAATTGAGATTTCCTTCACATTTCCATTTAAAAGACTTTCATTGAGACATTTTTCTATATATTTAAGGTGAACAACTTGATGTTTCACATGTTAAGTCCACAATGTGAAAGATCACCACAATCAAGCTACAGAAATTATCCATCAGCTCTGTAGTTACGTGTGTGTATGTGTGTGTGTGTGTGTGGAGGGATTTCCTTCAAGACCTGTCCTCTGAGAAAATCTCAGCCACACAGTGCAGTTCTGACTATTGTCATTGTTGCCAACACACGGCCTCTGTATCCTGCTCACTGAATTGAGACTCGAGGACAGAGTTTCGGATGAAGCAGAAAAGGCGGCTTTATTTCTTGGCCACGCAAAATTGTCACAGTGAGCTAATTAATGCCTTAAAGACTGCAAGCCTGCTGGGGAGAGAAGGCAGGGGGTTATATCATAAAATTCAAGAGTTCAAGGGATCACATAGAGATTAGCCAATTGTTTTAAAGTTGTTCTTGTTTTTGCAGATGCAGTGGTCCCCTTCCCTCTGCTCAGTGTGAAATTCACCTTCAGCTTTGGGACCCCTTTTATATTCCTATACCGAGAACACAGGATGCATAGGACGGGGCTCTGTGGAAGAGAGCTCTAGAGAAAGGCTTGGGTGGTTTAAAGACAGGTTGGTAAGTGCTTTGAGCCTTTTAAGGAGGCTGAAGCCTGCATCTTGAACAACAAGAACAAGAAGTAAATCACAAGGGGCCCAAAACGACTGCATGCATGAGCAGCTGGGCCAGTTATAAAGAACAAGATGCACAAAAGACCCAGTTGTGTTTCTGAGTTGTTGGGGTCAAGAGGAGGGCACTGGGGGCAAAAAAGCAGTGCGCTGAGCATGATCCCCACATGCAGCACTGGGGGATGTTGGGTGAAGCACCCAAGCCTCTCTCCTCTCAGCCTAATCCTGGTCAGCAAGAGCATGAGAAAAACCTTTTAAACTATTATACACTTTAACTGTTACAGACACCGTTACAGACATCAGATGGTCACCAATGCCAATAGGGTCCTGCTTGCTTACATCACTGGGCTGTGCATTAGATCTCCAGAACTCACACCCCAAGCTGAACGCTGGTACCCATGACAGATGACTTCCCACACACCCCTAGTCCAGCCATGGGCAACCACGATTCTACTTTCTGCTTTTATGCATTTAACTTAGTAAGAGTCCATGTTGTTTAAGTGAGATAATGCAGTATTTGTTATTCCTTTCTGACTTATTTTACTCAGCATAATGGCCTCCAGGCTCACCATTTTTCCCAACACCCTATCTCCAAGAAAAGAATTTCCTTTTTTTTAAGGCTAAAAAAAACCTTCAGTGTGTGTGTGTGTGTGTGTGAGTAGGTGTGTATATATACATAAACATATGTGTATATATATATTTGTACTCATTCACCCATTGATAGACACTTAGGATGGTTCCATGTCTTAGCTTTTGTGAACAATGCTGCAGTGAACCTGGGAGTGCAGAAATCTCTTCAATATACTAACTTCATTTCTTTGGATATATGCCCAGAATTGGGATTACTTGATTATATGGTAGTTTGATTTTTTTTAAGTTAAGTTTTTGCTCTACTATTTTCCATAATGTCTTTACCAATTTGCTTCCCTACCAACAGTGTACAGGGTTTCCTTTTTATCCACAGACTCACTGAACTTTGATATCTTCTGTGTTTTTGATACAGTCATTCCAACAGGTATGAGGTGACACACCATTGTGGTTTTGATTTGCATTTTTCCTAATGATAAGTCACGTTGAGCACTAATTTGTGTACCTGCAGGTCGTGGGTAAATTCTTCTTTGAGAAATGTCTATTCAAGTTCTTTTCCCAGTTTTTGTTTGAATTCTTTTTTGTTTTTGTTTTTGTTTTTTTTTCCTGCTGAGTTAGTTGTACGAACTCCTTTCATATTCTAGATGTTAACTGCTTGTCCATTATGCATGTATGTATGTGTTTATGTATGTATGGATGTATGCATGCAATGTATGTATATATAGTTTGCAAAGTTCTCTCCCCTTTCATAGGTTGCCTTTCCACTGTTGTTTCCTTTGCTGTCCAAAATCTCTTTAATTTAATGGACTTCCTTTACAACATTGCATCATTCGTACCTCTTATCTATAGGCAGTTATCAAGGACTACATTGTTGCTATTTTTATTTTGAACAACTGTTCTCAGACCAAAAGAAAAAATAAAAGATTTATTATACTTGAATTTATCTTTTCTCTAATGTTCTTCCTTTCCTTATTTATATTGCATTTCTAAGCTAAATCTTTTCCTTTTTTCTGAAAAACTTACTTTAACATTTCTTGTAAGGCAGGTCTACTAGCAACAAGTTCCCTCAGATTTTGTTTGAGAAAATTTTTACTTTTCCTTAATTGCTAGACAGAATGAAAAAGGGTGTCTGCATCATTTGGTCAGAAGGAAGCAATTTATGTAAAGAGGCGCGTTCTGAGCCCTGGTATACAGTAAGCCCCCAAGACATGTCAAGTGCTGCTGTTGTCCTGACTGAAGTTACCAGGCACCCTTCCAATATTGTGTGGGTGACTGAAAAACACAAAAGCTCAATTGTCTGTGGTGCTCTGAGATGCAATGAAACCATAAACACTAGAGTACCTCCCCCACCCCCCGCCCCCCAGTCTCAGGAATGAGGGACGCTCCGAACAGCAAATGAAAACACTCCCGGCCCAGCCTTTCAGCCCAAGTGTGTTCTTCCCGGAATCCTGCCTCTGGCATCTGGTGGGCAGCAATGCGCTGAATCTGGGCAGAGAGGAGGGAACCGGCTGCGGGAGGGTGGAGGGGCAGCAGGAGGCGGGGCCTGGGGAAGAGCCCAGGGGTTTAGACCACACGGATGGCAAGCGAGTGAGGCGCTGCAGAGGAGGGGCGGCCGGATTCTGGGGTGAAGTGGGCAGGAAGTACTGCGAGTTGGGGGATGGAGAGGAGCAGCGGCCTGGGGCCGGGAGGGGGAGGCGCAGCCTGGAGGGGAGCAGCGAGTGGGAAACGGAAGGGCAGAAGGGGCGGGACGGGGAAGGGGGCGGGCTGGGAGCTGAGTCACGGACCCGGGGGACCGTCACTCTCAGAACGCGGAAGGAAGAGTGGACATCGCAGCCATGCTTGCGGTGATGCGCTCCCTGGCGGAGGCCCTCTGGACGGTGCTCTGTCCCCTCACCCTCCTGCTGGGTGCCGTCCTGTTTCTCTTCTTCGCTGATCTCCTCAAAAGGCGGCGCCCAAAGAACTACCCGCCTGGGCCCCCGCAGCTGCCCTTCCTGGGCAATTTATTCCACCTGGACTTTGAGAAGGGGCACCTGTCGCTTCAGCGGGTAAGAGCGGGGAAAGGTGCACGGGCGCGTCCTGACCCTGACCTGCAGGACAAGGGCCAGCCCGGGTACCGAGGGCTGGAGGACCCGGGGCTCTGATGCTAACCCCATCCACAGTTGGCATTATTCCACTTGCTCTATCTATGGGTGAAATATTGTAAACTGTTTACTCTCTAAGTGTACCAGAGTCAATGTGCTTTTTAAAGTCATTGAATTGTGTCTTGTTACATATTACCGGGACATTGTATGTGCAATATGATCAATCTGTCTTTTTAATAGTACCCTCCTTGAAGGGGAAATTCCGGTACTTTTCTTCAGGGAGTCTGCATTTCCCATGTGTAAAATAATGATATTACTTCCTGAATTTTCACCACTTTTCAACTCAATTGCTCCCATCCCAACAAGGACTGAGCTCCTCACATTCAGCCTCCTTGCTCCGCAATCCACTCTTACTAAACTGATCATTTATAATGACAGTCCTCTGCTTAGATTTTCTGCCTACTTCCCAGCTGCCTCCCAAGTTCAGACTCCCTAGGGAGCTACTTGGAACCCTTCCGGTAGCCTCTTTCCACTTCTTTATAATCCTCTCCCATCAGGGCTTCCTAACTGTGGCCACTCTGAATTCCCTAAAATTCTCTGCAACACCCAACACTTTCTCAAGAATCTTCAGCTGCTTCCCTGCCTCTCAGTGCTGCTACTTGCTGAGAGACAAGACTGTGACAGGTAGTTGTGAACATTAAATAAAGCAGTGAATGATAAATATTAATACAGCTTATAGTAGGTGCCAACAAATATTATTTCCCCTTTCCCTAGAAAGTACCTGGAGCACTTTAAACACAAGCCTATAATGTACACCCATGTTCAGATGGAGAAGGGTTTATCACTTTTGAGGAAAAACATCCAATTTGTACCATAAAGTGACAGGAGTAGTCATAGAATTATAAAGCTATGCTTCTAAACCTGTACCCTTGCTTAAAAAATGTGTTATGAGTGGGGAGAGTATAGCTCAGTGGCAGAGTGCATGCAGGAGGTCATGGATTTGATCCCCAGTACATCAGTTAAATGAAAAATAACAATAATAAATAAATAAAGCTAATTGCCCCTCCCAAAAGACAAAAATGTGTTGTTTAATTTCTAAGTATTGGGAGATTTTCCTGTTTTATTATTTTTATTTCCTGTTAATGTTTTCCAGTTTGAGTCCATTATTGTCAGATTTCATGAATTCAATTTTTTAAAGATATGTAAATGTTTGTTTTATGACCTAAGATACAGCACCATGCATACTTGAAGAAGTGCGTATTCTGCTGTTGTCGGGTAGAGAGTTCTATACTGTATGTCACTTAGATATAATTAGATGACTGTGTTCTTTGGTTCTTCTGTACCCTTGTTGACTTCTTAGCTATTGATTCTCTCAGTGACTAACTAGGAGAGGCATGCTGAAGTCTCCAGATAAAAGTACAGGTTTGTCTACTTGTCTAGTCAGTTCTGATACTTTTCATTTATGCATTTGGCAGCTCTTTTATATGCTGCATATATGTCAAAATTGTTATGTCATCCTGGTGAATTGGCTGTTGAATTATTACACAATGTCCCTTTTTATCTCTGATGATTTTCTATGCCTGAACTTTATCCGATAGAATATAGCCAGGACAGCTCTCTTTTGATTAGCGTTTGCATTGTTTATGCTTCTCCAGTTTTCCACTTTTAACCTACTGATACTGTTATTTTTGAAATGAATTTTGTAGATAGCATATAGGTGGGTCATTTCTTTTCCATTTTGCCAATCTCTGTCTTTTAATTGGTAGATTTAGATCATTTGTATTTAATGTAATGATTGATATGATAACACTTAAGTAACACTTAACATTCATTTTCTATTTTTCACTTTGTTTTTTATTGCTCTATTTCTCCTTTCCTGTCTTCCTGTGGATCACTTGAACATATTTTAAGAATTGTGTTTTAACTGATCTATAGTGTTTTTTGAGTATATCTCTTTGAATTGTGTTTTAGTTGTTGCTGTAAAGATTACATGCTATGCATACATAGCTTATGGCAGTAAGTATCAACATTTTAGCGCTTCAAGTGGCAGATAGACACCTTGAAACTGTTAGATCCCTTTACTCTCCCTTCTTTGTAATATAATTGTCTGAAATACTGTCTCTGCATAAATTGAGAACCACGTGAGACAATATTATAATTTTCCTTTTAACTGACAAACACAATTGTTTCAATTCAAGAGGAGGAGAATACTCTGCTATATTTATCCCATTTATTTACCCTTTCTGTTGTTATATCTTTTCTACCTAAAGAACTTTCTTTAGCCATTCTTTTAGAACTCTACTGGCAAGAAATCCTCTTAGCTCTTTTTCATCTAAGAGTGTGTTTATTTCTTCTTCATTTCTGTAGTACATTTTCATTGGGTATAGAATTATAGGCTGATAGTTTCTTTTATTCAATCCTTTAAAACGTTGTGCTATTTTTCCTGACCTCCCTAGATGCTGATGCAAAATCTGCTATAGTTTGAATTGTTGTTCCCCATACATAATGAGTCATTTCCCTCTGCATGCTTTCAGCAAGTATTCATTATTTTTAGTTTTCAGAGATTTGATTGTAAGTCTTGGGTTTGAAGTCTTTGGATTTATTGAGTTCACCCACAACTTCTTGGATCTGTAGGTTTTTGCTACAAAGTTTGAGGATATTTCAGCCATTATTTCTTCAAAAAAATTTTTTTCAAATCTATAGTTTTTTCCTTTCCCTCTGATACTCTTGGGCAGTGATGGCACGAGGGTATTATCTTTTGTTAGTCTAACATAGGGCCCTGAGTCTCAGTTTTTCTTCTTTTCTTTTAGTCTGTTTTCTCTGCATACATACCACAGCCCTGCAGACAGGAGGCAGGGGCAGGGTCTACTTAGAGTTGCCTCTTGAGTAAACAGGTCAGAGAAGTCTTTGATTAATGACCAATGATTATCATCCAAGCCATACCTACACATTTGTGTACAGCCATGACACACCCCCTCATTCTTCCGTTCTCTCTCGTCCTCTCCCTGCCCCCTCGCTCTCATTCTTACTTTAACACTCTCACTGCTACCAAACTCTAAGTTCCTAGCACCATTTCAGGCTCATGTCTTTGCCTGAAACCTTATGCAATGCCTGTCAAATTCTCTTCAACACCCAGTAGCTACACAGGTAGTTACTTCTGCTATGACTCATTTTCTTTGGTGACAGATGAGGACAGTCATTACTACGATAGGGTGGTTGTGAAGTCAAATGAGATAAAAAGTGAAGATGCTTAACATGGCACACAGTGGATGTGGTTGTCTGTGACATGCGTGCCTTTCTCCAGGGCATCATCCCTGCACTCTCATCCAATCTGTCACCATGAATGCATAAATCCATACCTCTTTGCACACTGAGCCCATTCGTTCCCCAGAGTCTCCAGTGGCTGTCTGCCAGCTGCTTAAAAACAAACTGCCTTTCATGTTGCTGCCCTCATACTTCCTCACAGTACCATTTGAAGGAGGAGTAAATTTCTCCTTTTATAGCTGGGGAGCTGCGGCTTAAGAAAGTGAAACAACATTTCTAAGAGCTCACAGTTAGTTAACCACCGAGTTAAGATTTGCACATGGCTCCAGAACTAGTGTGTGTTCTTCTCCAGACCTGACCCCAGCCCTATAATGAATTTTCTGGCACCTAGAATTTGTTGAGGGAGGGGACATTCTCCTCTGGTTAAACAGGTATGATTTACTAAGAAGTGCATGCTTTTTACAACCGATGTTCATTAAACGTATCTCAGCCTCCTCTGGTGAGTCCCGTGTGCTGAATTCTCTCCCTTCACTAGACAGTAAGATGCTTGAGGTTAGAGACCTTGTTTATTTTATTATAGTTATATCTTTTTGTCTGATTCTTGGGACATATGGTGTATACTCAGTTCAAATAGTTTGAATACATGAATGATTATAAGGAATGCCCATGTCCTGCAGTGGATTCAACCTATCTCTGGTTGAGATAAAGAGACAAATATTCCCATCAGACCAAGGTGCACGTACACACACATACACACTCACGCACACACAGACTTCTTTCAGTAGAAGCCCCGACATATACACAGCCTCCATTCCTGGACACACAGACGTGTGCATATTCAAGCGTGACTCTTACTATTTTGCAGTTTGTGAAGAAATATGGGAACGTTTTTAGCCTAGACTTCGGTGTCATGTCTTCAGTTGTTATAACTGGATTGCCCTTAATCAAAGAAGCCCTTGTCCACCAGGGCCAAAACGTTGTGAACCGCCCTGTAATCCCTATCCAAGATCGTGTCTTTAAGAACAAAGGTAAGTGTCTGGACTAATGTAAGATGCATATTCTTCCCTCTGTGAAAGGTGCCTCTGTGACTGTAATTCTCCAACACTCCCAGGGACCAGGCACATCATAAAATTCCTGCCACTAGAGGGAGCTGAGTGCCTGCATTTTCCTGTTGAAGGCCACCCCCCCCCCCCCCTTAGAGAACCTGGCAGGGTCAGCTCCAGTGTCATGGATTTTGGAGAAGCTGTTCCACCTGCATGAACTCACTCTGGATGCTTTGATAAATCAGTGTCCACATCCCTGAATGACGGGATGTGTTTTGTAAGCAGAGGGGGAGGCAACGTGTTCTCAGTCCCACAGTCTACTTTCCCACTGAAATCTCCTCCCCTAGGAAAATGGATGTGGATCTGCATCCTTCTGCTGAGTATGTGATCCCTCTGTGCCTCTAGTTCCTTGTGCTTTAATATTAAGACTCTGTCCCACAATATAGCTCAAGCCTTCTGGTCAATGTTAGTACAGTTTGAATAAATATCTAAAATGATGAATAAATATGATTACACATTTACAAATCTAAATGAAAAACTCAAAACCCTCTTGTACCAAAAAGTACCATTTTTTTCAGGTGCTTCTCAATTCTTCTTTGAAATATTTTATCCATTTCCTCTCCATCCCTCACTCTATTTATTACCTGCCATGTGACATCTGGTGCTAGACAGGAGTGATGTAACACTGACTGGATTAGACAGTGTCTGTGTTGTTATATAAATTACATTGTACTCCGAAAGACAGGATCAGTTACTCTAATAACCTAAGCATTGGTGTTATGAAGATAAGAGCAGGATGCACTTATCTAATCTAGTCCTGAAATTCAGAAAAATCTATTGTAGGTAAGTGACAATTAATTTAATAAAGTGAAGAAGCAATCAGGCATAAGGAATAGAATATGAAAAGCCTCTGAGGTGGGAAGGAGGACAGTGAACTGGAGGAAATGAAAGGGGGCCAGCGTGGCAGCGCAGGGATTCAATCGAGATGAAGCTGCTGCGTTTGGCCAGGATCCTCATACATGTTCTTGTCAGGGATGTTGCTTTTATCCTAGTGCCAGTGGAAGTTCTTGAATCATTTAAGTAGAGAAGTGAATCGTCATATTTATAATGTGCATTTTAAACAGTCATCTAGGCTGCAATGTCAAGAATGGAATAAAGGGAGCAAGAAAGTGTTGTGGCATTTTAGGTTAGAGAAGGAAGGAAGTAGGTTGGACTAGGTTGACAGGAGGAAATGACAATACAGTGTGTTAGACCAGGATAGTGGTTGTGAAGATACATGGATTTAAGATATTCAGGAAGTAAATCCAGTAAGACATGATGAGCTAAATGGAGGGAGAATGAGGTATTGAGGTGGACACCCAAGTGGGCAGATAAAGGGAAGAAGGAACACTTGGGGAGGACAAGGTGTGGGCTGGCCTGGGATGGGGGAGCTGTATGGAGCAAATCAAGGATTCAGTCATGGATACGCTGAGTTTGAAATCCTTTAAGACAGCAGAGTCAAGCAGACACTTGTATGTATGCCTGGAGCTGAGAGAGAGAAATAGATGCTTAATATCAGTAAATGTCATTTAAAATTTAGGAGTTAATGAGATTTTCTCAGATGTGGAGTCTAGGGTAGGAAGAGAAGAGGCCTGACGATCACGAATCTTGAAGAACTGCATCATTTTGAAATTTGATAGAATTAGATGAATTAACAAAAACATGGTAAGTTCTCTGTGGTCAGAGAATTAGGAGGAAAATCTGGAGAGTGACGGGTCCTGAACACCACTGGAAGAGACTGCTTCAAGAGAGAAGTGTCTCAGGCAGCTGACGTAAGCAGATGAGGTTGAAAAGGATCCTGGATTTGACAGCAGGGAGGGCCATTTCATGGAGAGCGTGGAGGCCAGAGCCAGACATTGAAAAGGACTGAAGAGTGCTCTGCACGTGAAGACTGAAAGGAGTGTGGCCTCACCTGTGTGATGTAATAAATGATGGTCTATTGAACACAGCAAGATGGGGTATTTTCCCCTTTGCTGTGCTGTTGTTTTTGTATAGACTGTTCACTCTTATTTGATTTCCTGAGTGATTCATTTATCACTTGAGATGTGGCTTGGAGTAGAGCCTTGCCTCCTTATGAGTAAGGATTTTGTCTAATCAATAAGTGCATTCTTAACATGTAGCACAACAAATATGAAACTGTACTTAGGTGACAAGTAACCAAAGCATTGGCTTCAGAGTCAGGCAGCCTGAATTTGAAAGCCTGTTCACCTAGTTACTAACTCTGTGACCTTGCAAAGATTACTTATATCCCTTGTGGCTCTTTTCTCTCATAAACCAGATTAGGGGTGGGATGTTGACAGTAATGACAGTACCTAGCTCAGAGAGGCTCTGTGAGTACTACATTACATAATGCATTAAAAATACAAGTGTGTTCCGGCATTGCAAGCAAGCAGTACATACTAGTCATTATACCCATTGGTTTGAGATTATTTCTCTGAATAGTTTTCAAGTGCCTTAATGCCCTTCTTCTTCCTTCCATCTGATACACATCCCAGTGGAATTTGTTGGCTGTCTTTACATAATGTTGACTTTCTTTTTCCCAGGATTGGTCATGTCCAATGGCCAGGTATGGAAGGAACAAAGAAGGTTTGCCCTGATGACACTGAGGAACTTTGGTTTAGGAAAGAAGAACTTAGAGGAACGCATTCAGGAAGAGGCCCGCTACCTCACCCAGGCAATAGGAGAGGAGGACGGTGAGTGTGTCACAGGACAGGTGCAGGAGACTGTGGCTCATTCCTTCACTGACCAGATGCTTAATAAGTGCCCACGTGCCTGCCCTGTGCCCAGCACTGTGTAGGGCACCAAGGGGTTAACAGTGAACAACTAACCATGACCTGTCCTCATGGAGCTGGAGAATTAGACACAAGAAGATGAATATAGAACACATTATTGATTTTAAATCTTGGTCATCAGTTTGACTTCGAGGCACTGACTGAGTACTTGCTGTAGGTCAGACCCTGTGGAGGGTGCTGGGGTTTCAGTCTCAGAGGTGGTACTGTACTCAGTGTGTCCTGTGTCGTGTAGGGTAGACCCTCAGAGGAAACAGAAAGACACCAATTCTCCTCTGACTCCAGGACAGCCTTTTGACCCTCACTTCAAAATCAACAATGCAGTTTCCAATATTATTTGCTCTATCACATTTGGGGAGCGCTTTGACTACCAGGATGAGCAGTTCCAAGAGCTGCTGAGGCTGTTGGATGAGGTCATATGTCTGCAGACATCAGTGTGGTGCCAGGTGAGATGTTCTCATTTCCTACCTTGGATAAAGGTATTGAGCTGATGTCAGACCCAGGGTGGTTCTTTGGTTTTTTTTCTTTTGTTTTGTTTTGTTTTGTTTTTTTAACTAATTCATAACCTTTGACACAAACTTATTTGAGGTCATTTTGCTGAATTTAGTGTGTGTGATAATGTTAAATATTTACTATAGACAAAGAATGTTATTAACATTTGCATAAAGTACGAATCTCTGCACGACGTATGCTTGTGCACATATGTTGTTTTCTTTGAAAAGCATGATGTCTCCGTCACCTTTGGTCCCTCCTCTCCATGTCCCTTCCTAACCCGCCACCTTCGTCCTCCCTCAGAAGTTCTCTTCTGTGCCTGGTGCTCCCTGGACACACTGTTTTGAGATTCATATGTTAATTGCTCTTTTTAAAAATTCTGTCTAGTTTTCCATCTTACAAACATACAACTGTTGATTATTCTTTTCTTTACTGATGGGCCCTTGGGTGACTTCCAGTGTGGGGATGTTGGGACTACAGCTGCCGACAACATTCTTGTTTGGTCGTTCACATGGATACATCCTCCCATGTCTCGTGTGGATACACCTGGACATAAAATGTACTTAACGGTTTCCCACGTGTCTGCACTGCTACATGCCCATCCACACTTGATATGGTGAGTCTTCTAGTTATCTCGGGTATAGATGTAGGGCATTCAGACCTCACTCCTTCCTTGGTGGATGCTGCCCTCCTTCTCTGTCCTCTAGGCCTGTGAGTCTGTCGATAACTCTACTCAGCCTCTTGGTCTCTCTGCCTCTTTTCTGGATTTGGAAGTCACTCCCAGGGATAATCAGCCCCAAGTGTTGAGGTCACCTCTCTGGTGTCTAGAAGAGGGTTTACTTTTATTTATTTCTGACAAACATGTTTGCCTGGAGCTTTCGGGACCCTGCACACCAAGACTGATAAAGCAGTCCCTATGATTCCTGGCACATTAAAGGGGCCTAATGAATGTGCACTGTTATGATTATCCTCGATGTTATTTTTGAATACTGTTCTTTGTTTTCACTTCTAATCATAGTGGTCCCCCATTCAGTAATTTTGTTTTATTCCTTCCTGTTAAGGATAAAACTTAGGAAGTCATGGGAATTCAGTGGGTACCCAGCTTATTGTTCCCAGGGAAGAGAAATTCCTGGAGGGTAAGATGGGGCAGTGGGGGAGGGGTAATAATCATTGTTTAGAGACTCAAAATGTACCAGGCAGTTTTTCCCTTTTTTAAAAAATTATTATGAGGTGTAGTTGATTTATAGTGTTGTATTAGTTTCAGTTGTACATCAAAGTATTGCTAGACATATATGTGTATATATATATGTATAACCAAATCACTGTATAACCGATGTTTATATTCTTTTGATATATACATTTATATATAGATTTTCAGATTCTTTTCCATCATTGGTTATTACAAGATATTGACTATATTTCCCTGTGCTAAACAGTTCACCGCTGTTGCTTATCCATTTCATACATGGCAGTATGTATATGCTAATCCCAAACCCCTCATTTATTTCTCCCCTCAAAATATTTCCCCTCTGATAACCATAATATGTTCCCTATGTCTGTGTGTCTATGAGTCTATTTCAGGTTTGTAAGTTCCTTTTTTTTAGATTCCACATAAAAGTGATATCATGCATTTGTCCTTCTCTGTCTGACCTACTTCACTTAATATGATAATATGATTGGTCTATCCATGTTGCAGCAAATGGCATTTTATTCCTTTTTATGGCTGAGTAGTATTCCATTATATAATAAATATATATATATATATATTCCATGATATATATAGTATATATATTCCATTATATTTATATTCCATTATCTATGTATGAATTATACACATCTTTTTTATCCATTCATCTGTCGATAGACATTTAGGTTGTTTCCATATCTTGGCTATTGTAAATAGTGCTGCTATAAACATTATGGTGCATATATCTTTTCAAATTACAGTTTTCCCTGGATATATGCCCAGGAGTGGGATTACTGGGTCATATGGTAACTCTATTTTTAGTTTTTTAAGGAACTCCCTTACTGTTCTCAATAGTGGCTGCACCAGTTTACATTCCCACCAACAGTGTAGGAGGGTTCCCTTTTCTCCACACCCTCTCCAGCATTTATTATTTGTGGACTTTTTAATGGTGGCCTTTCTGATTGGTTTGAGGTCAGACCTCATTGCAGCTTTGATTTGGATTTCTTTATGATGTTGAGCATCTTTCCATGTGCCTTTTAGCTATCTGTATGTGTTTTTTTGAGAAATGCTTGTTTAGATCTTCTGCCCATTTTTTGATTGAGTTGTTTGTTTTGATATCAAGCTGTATGAAGTGTTTGTATATTTTAGACATTAATCCCTTATCAGTCTCATTATTTGCAAACATTTTCTCCCATTCTGTAGGTTGTCCTTTCATTTTGGTTCTGGTTTCCTTTGCTGTACAAAAGCTTTTAAGTTTAATTAGGTCCCATTTACTTATTTTGCTTTTATTTCTACTACACTAGGAGACAGATTGAAAAAAATATTGCTGAGACTGATGCCAAAGTGTGTTCTGCCTATGTTTTCGTCTAGGAGTTTTAGAGTATCTGGTCATGCATTTAGGTCTTTAGTCCATTTTGTGTTTACTTTTGTATATGGTGTGACAGAATGTTCCAATTTCTTTCTTTTACATGTAGCTGTCTCGTTTTCCCAGCACCACTTATTGAAGAAACTATTTTTTCTCCATTGTATATTTTTGCCTCCTTTGTTGTACATGAGTTGGCCATATGTACGTCGATTTATTTCTATGCTTTCTATGTTGTTCCACTGATCTATGTATGTCTTTCTGTGCCATTACCATACTGTTTGATCACTGTAACTTTGTAGTATAGTGTGAAGTCTGGGATCGTGATTCACCCAGCTATGTTCTCCTTTCTCAAGATTGTTTTGGCTATTCAGGTTCTTATGTGTTTCCATACAAATTAAAAAACTTTTTGCTTCATTTCTATTAAAAACGTGCCACTGCTAATTTGATAGAGATTGCGTTGACTCTGTAGATTGCCTTGGATAGTATGGCCATTTTAACAATATTGATTCTTCCAAATCAAGAACATGGTATATTTTTTCATCCATATATGTTGTCTTCAATTTCTTTCATCATTGTCTTCTAGTTTTCAGAGTACATGTTGTTTGCTTCCTTAGGTAGATTGATTCCCAGGTAATTTATTTTTTTGATGTGATGGCCTTAATTTCTTTTTTCTGCTCTTTCATGGTTACTGTACAGAAATGCAACTGATTTCTGTATATTATTTTTGTATCCTGCAACTTACTGAATTCATTGATGAGCTTTAGTAGTTTACTGGCAGGATCTTTGGGATTTTCTATGTATAGTATCACGTCATCTGAAAACATTGACAGTTTTATTACTTCTTTTCTAATTTGGATCCCTTTTATTTCTTTTTCATTTCTGATTGCTGTAGCTAGGACTTTCAAAACTATGTTGAATAAAAGTGGTGAGAGCTGGCATCCTTGTCTTTTCCTGATTTTTGAGGAAATGCTTTCACCTTTTCACCGCTGAGTATGATGTTAGCTATGGTTTTGTCACATATGGCTTTAATTATGTTGAAGTATATTCCCTCTATGCCCACTCTCGGGGGCGTTTTTTTTTTTCATAAAAGGATGTTGAATTCTATTGAAAGCTTTTTCTTCATCTATGGAGACGATCATAGGGATTTTATTCTTCAATTTATCAATATGTTGTATCCCATCGATAGATTTGTAGACATTGAAAAATCCTTGCATCCCTGGAATAAATCCCACTTGATCTGTCTGGTTTTGCTACCAGGGTGATGGTAGCCTCATACAACGAATTCGGAAGTGTTCCTTCCTCTGCAATTTATTTGAATAGTTTCAGAAGGATAGGGGTTAACTCCTCTCTAAATGTTTGGTAGAAAACACCTGTGAAGCCATCTGGTCCTGGGTTTTTGTTTGTTGAGAGTTTTTCATTACTAATTCTATTTGTATCAGGCAATTTGATATACAAATATATATAGTTTATCTAAGTTGATTTTTACAACTATCCTTTAAAGAATGACATGAAGTATGTTGATGTGATGTGGAAATGTGTACACAAATCCACATAGTGTCCCACTGGTTCTGTGTTAAGTGCTGTATGTATCTCATGTCATTTCTCATGAAAATAATCCTGGGGCCCCACTGACAGCAAGTTAAACAAAGTAGTATAGATTACAGTATTATCACTATTGTTACCAGATACTTACAGCTAGAAAACAGCACAGCTAGTAGTCAATGCCTGTTTCATTTTAGGTCTAGTCAGTTTCCATTCTTTTGTGCTACTTGTTTTCTACAAGCTATTATTAGAGAAAATATATTAAGAAATCTCCTTATTTCACTATAAAATGTCTTACCCACATGGAGAATACATCATAGTGGGCAGACAAAAAAATACATGTATATGTTTAACTTAGATAGAAAGTGATAGATAGGCAGACAGACATGTTTTACACACACAAGTATATACAGACACACATACTGGTGATAACTGTAATAAAGGAAAAAAAAAAGAAGACGCCGTAATAAAAGAGGGTGACAGAAGTGCTGCTATTTATAGGATCATCAGGTAAGACAGGTCCAATTAGGTAACCTTTGAGCAGCACCTTAATGAAATAAGGGGCTGGAGTTATAAAGATTTCAGAGGAAGTTCATTCTAGGTGCAAGGAATAGCAAATGCAAAGACCTAAAGAATAACATCTGGATGTTGTTTGTCATGGAGGCCAATGGGGCTGCACTGGAAACAGTAAGAGAGAGAAGAATGGTGGGGAGTGATAGCAGAGGAGGAGACAGGAGTGTGAAGGGGAAGCTCAGGTAGAGCTACAAGCCAGGAGAATGAGTTAGAATTATTGTAAATGTTTTGAAAAGTCACTGAGAAAGGTGGGGGAGGAGGGATAAATTGGGAGTTTGGTATTTGCAGATACTAACTACTATATATGTATAATAGATAAACTACCATGTACCACTATACAGCACAGGGAACTATATGTAGTGTCTTGTAACAGGCTATGTGAAAAAGAATATGAAAATGAGGTGTATATGTGTATCTGAGTCACGATGCTGTACACCAGAAATTAACACAACACTGTAAACCCATTTCACTTCAATTTAAAAAGAAGAAAAGTCATTGGAAGATAGCCGAAAAGTAAAATGATCAATTAAACTGTTAAATGATCCTCCTGGGAGCTCAGTGGAAATTAGACTGGGAATGGGGTGAAGGATGGCATCGGCAAAACTGTTGGAGGCTCTTACAGCATCCAGGTAAGAAATGCTGGTGGACTGTACAAGGATGACAAAGCATTTGGAGTGGTGATGGGTCATCTGACACTGGTTATATTGTGGATGGAGGGTTGACATGCTTGGCCAGAGGGTAGGTAAGAAGAGGGATGAGAGAGATAGGAAGAGTCGGGTGACTCCACAGGTTAAGTGTGAACCGAGAAAAGAGAAAGAGGAGATGGTTTCATGTCTTAAAAAGTGGAAAACTGGCACCATCTCATCTCCATAATTGTTGTTTTTCCTCTTAATCAGCTCTATAATATCTTTCCACGAATAATGAACTTCCTCCCTGGACCCCACCAAAGGATCTTTAGTAACTGGGAGAAACTGAAAATGTTCATTACCCATGTGATTGAAAACCACAAGAGAGGCTGGAATCCTGCCGAAGCAAGAGACTTCATTGATGCTTACCTCCAGGAAATAGAGAAGGTGAGGAATCCAGACTTATTTCCTGAGTTTTGATCTTAAAGAGCAGTTGAGGGGATTCGAGTGTCTAATTGCTGCTGTAACAAATTACCACAAATGTGGGGGCTTGAAACAGCCAAATGTATTCTCTTTTGGTTCTAGTGGTCAGAATTTGGAAACCACCTTCACTGGGCCAAAGTCAGGGTCATGTAGGGCTGGCTTCTTCCAGAAGTTCAAGGGGAGTATCCATTTTCTTGACTTCCCCAGCTTCTAGAGCTTCCTGTACCCCTTGACTCACAGCCCCTTCCTCCATCTTCAGAGTCATCAATGTAGCGCCTTCTCTGCCACCAACGTTACATCTTCTCTTTACAACCTTCTTGCCTCCCTCTTATAAAGACTCTTATGAATATATTGGGCCCCCTGGGATGATCTGGGATCATCTTCCCATATCAAGTTCCCTGACTTCATTATAACTACAAAGTCCCTTTTGGCACAAAAGCTACTGTCCCTGGTTCCAGAGATCAGGACATGGACATCTCTGGGAGTCATTACTCAGCCCAGCATAGGAGAGTAAATTAGAGGCAGTATTTCATAGAGTGGCAGAATAACATTAACTCAGAATTGATGAGACAATTAGAAATACAGATACAGTTTTAACAATATTTGGCTTGAGGCATTGAGAAAGATAAAATTCTTCCTTTTCATAGGGTCATAGAGTCACCCATCCCTGAAGAAGATACACAAAGGAAAAGAAAGGATAGTTTCATTATAGTTGGACAAGTGCCCAGCTCCCTACCCCTTCCCCCAGCTCCCCAGGTCAGAACACAAGTAAAGCTGAATGTGATGCCAGAGTTTAGCCTCAAGTGGGAGAGGGTTTTCCTTCCTCCCTTGTCCCCAGATCACCCACTTTTCAACCTTATAGGAAAAAAACAAGAAAAATCCAGATTGATGAATAGCTTTTACCATAGTAACCCCTCTGGTTAATACACATCACTGCATCCCTGTCATCATCCTTGACTCATCAGATTATTTATTCCTCTCCTGGAGTTGACAGAGTGTGGATTTCTTTCCATCTCCTCTCTTATTTCTCCTTATTGGCACAGCATTCCTGGAAGCAATGGTTTCTCCTCAGAGGAGGAGACTTCACCTGCTGTAAGGTGTGCAGGTGTGGGAGCACACACAGAGGAATGTTGACACAGTGAAGCTTCTGGAGGAAGGTGGTAAAGATGCTGGAGAACCATGAGGAAAGGTGGTTGGAATCAGAGAAGTTTAACCTAGAAAGGCAAAGACTAATGGGGGAAAATGAGAATTGTTGTACTTTAGAGAAATTCAGTTTATTCTCTCTGGTATCAGTACAGACATTTCTTGAGTATTTGCTACATGCCCTTCGTGTCTCACAGAATTCATAATGCCATCTTAAGGATGAGTATTGTTGTTTCTATTTTATGAATCAGGAAACTGAGGCACAGAGAGATTTAGTAACTTGCTCAAGTCACACAGATAGTAAATGATGTGGCTAATGTTGGAACCCCAGGCTGTTTTTCCAGTGTACTGATAGAGTCTCCAAAATATGGGCATAATAAATTAGTTGTCTTCATTTTCATTCAACAAAGGTAACAAACATCCAGCATTTGGGGCTGGAGGATGCTAATGATATTCCATTCTCCTGAGATAGCCAAATGGAAAGTCATTTCTCCTGGTGGGACGGGGTGTCCTCTCCTTCCACATTATCTCCAGCATGAAGCCCCTATGTATTGTGACAACCAAGAACCATCTGAATAAGCCAATCAATATTGTGCTTTCTAGCATAAGGGCAATGCCTCCTCAACTTTCCATGAAGAAAACCTCATCGCCAGCACCCTGGACCTCTTCTCCGCTGGAACAGAGACAACTTCAACGACGCTGCGCTGGGGTCTGCTCTACATGGCCCTGCACCCAGAAATCCAAGGTGAGCGTGTCAGTGGGTGTGCCTGTGCAGGTCAGGAAGGTGCCTCCTGGAACACATTTCCCAAAATTCAGGCCAGAAGACAAATGGTAGGATGGAGAGATGGTAGGACAGTCACAGCCCCAGGTGGACAGGAGAACAGACACATTCTTCAGTTTTACTGTCAGAACTGTGACGGGTCTAAGTACTACAAACATAACAGAGAGTCCCTGCTCTCAGGATACTCCAGTCTAGTGCGGAAAATGTTGAAGTCTGTGGACATTGTGGTGAGTTCCTGCAAAGAATTACACTCCATTCACAGATGAAACCTGGTCATAACCTCTGCCCTGTTATGTCATGTCTTCCACTGCCTTGTGGATGATATTCAGACTCCTGAGTCTGGTGTATCCTGCCCTCTGATGTGCCCTCATCTGCCTGTTTAGCCTCAACAGCCCAGCCTGCATGGTGGCCTCACGAAATGACTTGTCCTTATTTGTGCCGTCACACCTGCTCCTCCCTAGAAGAAATATAGAAAAGTAATTCCCTAATTTCTTTACACTTTCATTCACTGGCTGTGCTTGAAGAATCTACTCAGACACAACCTCCACACAGATGTCACCCCACTCTCCGGGAAACTACTAAAGTTTCCTTCCTCTGGAGACAACCCTCACTGTGATTTCCATGAGTTGTTGAAGCATCCTCCCCACAGGCTGTAGCTCAGTGGAGGTCAGGGACTGTGACATCATTTTTTTTCCTCTAGACCCCAGAACAGGTTGAGCACATGAAGGATGAGATCTTTTAGGATACAGTTTTTCAAACTGTGGGTAGCACATTATTATCAGGACATAAAGTTAATATTGTAGAACAAGACCAACTATTTTTTCTAAAATAATAATAGATTAGAAAAGATCAGAGTGCATCCTGTGTACTAAGGAGAAGTTATTTTTCAAGAAACTTTATTTCTTTCTGTGTAAGTAAATACACATGTATATTATATATAAATCTATGCTTTATATGTTTATGTATATGTGTCCTGAGTCATAATGTAAAATGCATTTGTAGCTGTGAATTACAGTGTTTTTTTTAGTTCAAAAGACAGCTGGTCAATATGTGGATTTGGTTTCTACAATAGAGGCTCCAAAATAACAATGCCTTAATATTATGTAAGAAGTGGGAGCAACCTAAGTGTCTATCAGTGGATGAATGGATGAACAAACTGTGAAGTGCAACGGAAAATTATTCAGTCTTAAAATGAAAAAAATTCTGACAGATGATACCAGTTGGACGAACCATGAGGACATTATGCTAAAAGAATCTAGTCGATACTAGACCTATAATGTATGATTCTGTATATCTGAGGTGTCTAGAGTGGTTGAATTCATAGAAATAGAAAGTAAAATGGTGGTTGTGAGAGGCTGGGAGTAGGGAAACATTAAGGATTATGGTTCAATGGATGGAGAGTTTCAGTTGTGCAAAATAAATGTCTTCTGGAAGCTGCACAAAAATATGAACAAACTTTACATTATTAAACAGTACACATAAAAGTGTTAACATGTTAAGTTTTGTAATATGTGTATTTTACCAAAATTAAAAAAAAATCAATGATCAATAACAAAAAAGTAGAATTTGATTTTTCTCTAAACTGGACTCTCCAGAGTCCTGTGGGGCCCAAGCTCCTTCCAGTGTTTTCCTTTGTTGTATCCACAGTGATGCCCTGTTAACAATCTCAGAGATGGCTCCCCACTGGGGCTGCCTTTGCACCAGTGGGAAGAGACCAAGGAGAAGGAAGCACACACCCTAACAAGAAGGGCAGGTTCCAAGCCTTGAACATCCTCCACGTACATTCTGTTGGCTAGAAGTTAGTAACAGGGGATCTGGGAAACATAGTCTTCAGCTGGGGAACTAGGTATCCAGCTAAAATCTCTTTTATTATAGACAGAAAAAGAGGAAAAGAGTTATTGGGGCCAAATTAGCAAGTTTTTTTTTTTATTTGTTGGATGCTCCCATATGTCAATTTATGTGAATCATCAAAAATCCTAATGAGGAAAGTGGATTCATCCTCACTAATAAAAAGAGGACACTGAGGTTCAAAGAGTTTCAGCAACTTGCAACAGGAATGTTGACGAGCAAGTGTTTGCAACCAGATTTGTGCTAAACCAGCGCCCGCTCTGCACTCAGGTACCTCCCTGAGAAGCTACCGTCTACACAGCCTGCTATAAGTCTAGCCATTTTGATCCTGGTTATTTTATTCCTTAGCTGAACCAGGCTCAAGGAGGGTAATGAATATTAGAATAATAGAACTTTTTCTACTTTTCTAGAAAAAGTCCAGGCTGAGATCGACAGGGTGCTTGGCCAATGGCAGCAGCCGAGCACAGCAGCTCGAGAGTCCATGCCCTACACCAACGCTGTCGTCCACGAGGTGCAGAGAATGGGAGACATCATCCCACTGAACTTGCCCAGAGAGGTGACAGTGGACACCACGCTGGCTGGATACCACCTGCCCAAGGTAACTGTGGCCTCACTCGCGGCCTCAGATCTCCACACTCTTAAATGATCAGAATCTCAACTGGAAAATCACTGTGTATGCTTCTCCTAGGTAATCACTTAAATGGGGACAGAGACGTTACACCTGGTAGAATTCGAGTCTTCTTCTCCATGTGTGGTCTTTAGAATGTTAGTTCCACCAGATTTTCATAAGCATTATGGAGGAGAAGGGGCATTTCTACGTCAAATGTGTTTAGACAAAGAATGACTTTTTGCTGTGAGATTTCCAAGTGTTTTGACTATGTGATGTGCATTGTGAAACTTTGTGGGGAGACAACAAGCAACGGTTCTCAGTCAGACTTTGACGTGAGGTCTTTTCTTTGCCTTGGTAGAGCTTCTCACAGGACTAGGGACCTCCCAGACTTACTTTGGAAAATTCAGCTTCACAATGCTGGGGTTACAGAATATTGAAACATGAAGGGACGTTTGAGACCACTCAAACCAACATTACCTTAATGATGGGGTCTCAAACATAATTTCCCCACTGGTGTTTTTCCAGCTTTGACTTACAGCTCCGTGATGGGACTGCCATCTCACAAGTGGAACCAAGCCAAGTGTGTGCCCTGTTGCATATCAGAAAGGAGAGAAAGGAACTGATGCTCATTAAACAGTGATTATGTACATGGACTCTGTGGGTCCTTTCCAAATGTCTTGACCAGTCCTCAGAATAATTCCATTAGCCCCACTTTATAAATTTGAAGTCAAGGCAATGATTAAACTTGCCTAAGATGTCTCAGCTACAAAATGAGTTCCTGAGACAGACCTGTTCTGAGCCACAGGCCCATCTCTTTTATACAGCACCAAGTTCTCTCCATAGGAGTCGCTTTCCTTTGACTTTAGAAGAGATTCCCTGCAGTTGTTTTCAGTGGTTTCTGTTCAACTCCCTGTCCTCACAAAGGAATTCCTGTTGTCACTGCCCTCAACACTCAGGATCTGAGCAGACCGCTCTCCTGTGCCCCCTAGTGTCCTGTGTGCACACTGCACATTTACACTGTGCTTTCTCACCCCCTGGTGGGCCTCTGTGGATCCATCTCAGCTTGTCTCAGTGACTCTGTGTGTGTCTCACCTGAGGATGATCTCAAGAGGTAGAACCAGAGGAGCTTAGCCTCGGACACCCCTGGGTCTCTGTCCCTGCAGAGCCAGGAAAAGCAACTATTCCTCGGGTACTGCCTTTCCTGTTTTCCTCCTGATGGACCATCTTGTGGGTGGAGGCTGCGGTCTTATTTATTTCACAGGTGCTCTTTACATTTTTATAGAGACCCATTTAGCTCTATTGAAGCAGCTTATCTCAAGACATGTTCTACTCTGATTTCTAAAATCTGCTTTAATATTCTTCCTGGGAACATTGCCATGTCATTGACTGTATGTTGCAGAGTCTCTGAGACAGAGCTTTGAAGTCAGCTGTCCTGGTTTAAATCATGGTTCTCCCTCCTCCCACCCCGGGAGTCTAGGCAACTTATTTAACTTCCTGAGCTTCAATATCTTTATCTGTGGAAATTGACTTAAACCTACCTAACAGGTAGAGGTAAAGTGAGACCATGCAGGTAAAATATTGAACCTAGTGTTAGTATAGAAAGTGCTTCAAATGACAGTTATTCTTCTTTAAAATCAACAGATGTTCTTTAAGCACCTAAAATATTCAGATCTAAGAAAGAAACTGAGGAAAATAATTATGCAAGTTTCTAAGTACAAACCATGATAAGTTCTCAGGAGAGAAAATTCACTGGTTTCTCTAAAGAAGCAGGCTAGCAGGAAGAAGGAATGGGATCAAGAGTGGGCAGAGAAGGCTTCCATGAGGAAGTGATGTGTGAGTGAGGATGAAAGGAAGATTGAGTTAACGTGGTGACAAAGTGGGGAGGAAGGTCATTCCAGGCAAGGCGAACAGCCGGCAAACAGGCATGGACATGAGTGGGGACATGTGGTGAATTTGAGAAACTGCAAGAAGCTCCCTGCAGACAGAGGGGTTCAGACAGGGCAGGTGATGTATCCTTCATCTAGGAGTGACGGGGAGCTATTGAGGGTGTCTGTCAAGTTCCAGGTGTGCTGTGTGGACGGGTGTGACATGACCAAGTCCTGTCTAAAGCTGAATCTGCTTTCAGCATGGGGATCAGATGGAAAGGGGAAAGAGAAAATATGAGGTGCAATTAGACAGCTTTAGAGGATAGCAAGGGGATAGCTTGGACCAGGGTGGCAGTGGTGGACCTAAATTGGAGGAGACAAAATCAAGAGAAATTTAAAGTAAACTTGACCAGCCTTGTTGAAGAATTGGATGAAGGTAGAATGAGGGAAAGGGAGGTATTAAGGGGGCTCTTAGTTTTCATATTATGTGTCTGGAAGGATAGTGTTTCCTTCACTGGGTGACTTGACTGTCTTATTCAGCCTTCATTGGGATGTCCTAGACAGTGGAGGTAAGAGAATGGGAGAAACAAAGATACATGAGGCATTTTTACCTTGAAAGAGCATAGTGATCACTTCGGGGAGCAGCTGGTTTGGTTTTGGGACAATACTGACTTTCCAGACGTCACGTTATTCTCTTGTTGATGCACACATGTTCCCTCTCAAGTTCTACACTGACATGTCCCTGGAGAGATCTATTCTGCAGTCATGAGTGGTCACACTTCCCTGGAATAATTCCCACAGGACACTTCCATCTACCATTGTAATCTGTCCCCTGGCAAAGAGCAGGTCCTAGAGGTTGAGCTCTGAAGGTGGTGGGTTGTGGAGGTTGAGGGGGTTGAGGGTGCTGTCAGGCTTTGGTGTGGGAGCCATGAGGACCCCTGCCCCTCGGCACAGGTGTGCTGCGTGGGTCAAGCCTTCCCTTAGTCTTTTCTCCCTTTTCTAGGGAACCCTAGTCATGACCAACCTGACTGCACTGCACAGGGACCCCACAGCGTGGGCCACCCCAGACACATTCAATCCGGAGCACTTCCTGGAGAATGGACAGTTTAAGAAAAGGGAAGACTTTCTGCCTTTCTCAGCAGGTGAGTTGCAATAAATAGGAGTGTGAGAATGCAGAGCCCCTCTCTCAGCCCTTCCCTGCTCTGGTGTGCTCTGCTCTTGTTGGAATGTCTCCAGATAGTCCTGCCCATCCTGACTCTGTCTTGCTAAAGGTTGTACCACTGGATTCCCTGGGGGAGCTTCACCCAGACTCATGCCCTTACTTCCTAAGTCCTACCTGGACTCTGGTAGAGATCTCAGCATCCTGTTGTTCTGACCCCAAGAGCACTGGGGACATGACTCACAGTGAAAGAGAATGTAACAACGAATGTATGTATGTTCATGTATGACTGAAAAATTGTGCTCTACACTGAAATTTGACACAGCATTGTAAAATGACTATAACTCAATAAAAAATGTTTAAAAAAATGAAAATGCCATATTGGGAAAAAATAAATAAAGAACACTGGGGACAGAAGCTCAGACCCTGCCTGTTGTCCACAAAGAAGACTGGACATTTGCTGTCTTTACAGAGTTTTTAAACGCCTCCATTTCTTTTTAAGTGCCACCTACTCACACAGAACTAGGGCCAATTTCTAATAAGGGGGTTACGGGGGTAGGAAATGGGCAGGGTCCTTATGCTTATGGGCTTCACTAAGTGGGATTCTACTATAAATGCTCCCCGAAGACATCATTTCCCTTTCTAAATTCGATCACCCATTAAAAATCTAGTTATTAAGTTTACATTGTACAGACTCGAAAGACAAGATGTAGGATGCACTGAAACCCTCATGTTTCCAAGGCAGCCAGATCCAGAGGGGGTTTTTAACTCAGAACATTGTAAGATGAGTGGGAAAAATTCTTAGCATATTTCAGGTATTGAGTTATGTATGTTGCAGAGATGGTTTCAAGTAAATTCCCAGTTCCTTAGGTGTAGAAATCTTTCCTGAGAACCTACTGTGTGTCAAGAATTCAGGCCTGAGGATAAGAAAATGAATGAAGAGGAAAAAAAACAAGATACTCTCTCCTGGAGCATGTGTTCTAGTGTAACCTTACAAAGTTCAAATTCCTGTCACCACTTTAGGGATAAGAAAACTGAGGCTTAGCAGCAACAATATGGCATCTGAAGTCACAAGCTCAGGTGGCAGAGCTAGAACTCAGTGTAAACCAGGTTAATCAACAACTGAAGCCCGTGTTCCTCCTACCAGTGTCTCCTAGGAAAAGTAGCTAAAGGCTACATTGAGTTGACTCTCTGAAATTCATTATAGTTTTCTTATCATTAATTTAAAGTTAAATATGGGTTGATTTTCTGAGACTGTATCATTTGCTGATAAGGCCAGTGAGGCACAGGAAGGGAGGGACTGGAATTTGGCCCGTGCTGTATGACACTGTCCTGAGTGTATCTGGACTGACTCTGATTAGATCTTCTATGTCTATCTTCATCTGGTTCTATGTCACCTTTGCTCACATTGGACCAGGCATTTCATAATATGAAAGGAGATATGCGATGCAGAAAATCTTCCAGACTTCCTGTCTACAAAGGCTTCATGTTTCATATTGTAGTACAATGTTTCACCTGTATATTTGATGTATTATATTTATTTTTGCCTTAGTGTGTTTATTTGCTCTTGAGAGTTGTAACACATTGTTTTAATTATAGAATTCCTCTGCAAGCAAATTATCTCATTTAATTCTTACAGCAACCTTGTTATTAGTAGTTAGACAGGAAATGGATCAATATCTCCTTTCTTAATATAAGGAAACTAAGAATAAGAGAGAAGGAGAGATGTTTCTTATCCAAGATCATGTTCCCAAGGAATTGGCAAAACAGGGCTAAAGACTCAAGTCTTTATCCTTCTAATCCAGTGCTCTCTCGAGCACATTAGAGTGTAATTCATTTCCGACTTGAAGGCTCTTCCAGTTGAAGATGCACTGAGCTCTTACCATGTGTATCAGTTATTACATGGCTGCATAGCAGAGAGCGGAAAACTCAGTGACTTAAAACAAGCAGTGTGTGTTATTGCTCACACGTCTACCCTTGAGCCGGGTAGCTGGGCTGATCTCGACTGGGCTCTCTTACGTGTTTGCGAGGCCAGCTGGCTGAAGGCTGGTCTAGGATGACCTCACCTGGGACAGTGGGCATCTCTTCCAAGTTATGTCTCATCCTCCAGGAAGCTGGCCCTGCTTCTGTGCATGTTGAAGATAAGACTCCAAGAGGGAGAAAGGAAGCACACAGTGCCTCTTAAGGGCCAGGCTGGGAGCCGACAGCCATCACTTTCACTGAATCCTGTTGCCAGTGCAAGTCCGAAGGTCAGCCCCAGGTCAATGAGAAGGGAAAACACTATGGAGTTTATGAGGAGGGCTATGAATTCCCATTGTAAGTGATGTGATACAAGGGAAGGGGGCAACTGGAGCCATTTTGGCAGTCAGTTGGTCTCAATTTGTCTTTCTGCCTGAGAGGAATGAAACTCAGAGTAGGCAAGTATTGGGGGATTGCCTCAACTGAGTGAGGACTAGTTAAATAGAACAGGAAATAGAAAACTGGCAATCAGCTGAGTTAAAATGTCAGCAGCCCTGCCAGGTTTTTCCCACCACACTCCCATCTTGGGCATAGAACTTGTTTGCCTCCTTCTTGGTCTAGCACTTTGTAAAGACAGTCTCCCTGAAGGGATGGCGTGTGGACCACCCCTTCCCTTTTCTTGAGGGTACCAAAGACCATCAGGTGTTGTATTAGGACAGGTGCACAATCAGGGCAGAGAGCAAACCTGTTATTACAGATTCCTATTTCCTTTTCCACACTTTGGTTTTTCCTTCTTGATCTAACAAAGCAACACACAGCTTTATGATAGGCCAAAGGATGATTCCTCAATTTTCAAATAAAATCATTGGATTTTAGGAAATAAGGTTAGGGAGAACTTTCACCAAAACCTATATAATTTCTCTCATTTTACTAACAACATAACTGACCTGGTTACTTAGTGGTGGTCAGTTAGAGGAAGCACCAAGGAGAAAGCCCTAGGTTCCAAGTCTCAACAGTAAGTAGCTCTTGTTTTTATGACGTCCAAGGCAATTCACAGCTGCTCTCTTACTGTATCCTTACGCAGCCACGTAACATAGTTAGGAAAGAGATCATTTCACATGCTTAGCAAGTAAGACATGTTTAGCTCTGTGAGCATGAAGGGGTTCCTCACAGTGCACGGCTGGTTTCTGATGGAACCAGCACGCGAAGCCTGGTTCCTGATCTCTGGATCCCAGTTTTGTCCTGGTACCTGGACTCTTCTCTGAGAATCTTGGGGATTTACGATACAGCTGATTTGGTAGCATTTTCACAAATTTCCTCATTGTGGTATTTGTGATGGATAAAGAGACCAGGATGAAGGGAACAGAGAGGATTAGACAACGGTGGTGGGAAACACAGACACAAATAATATAATAATGATGTAATTCTGAAGCACGTTTCCATGTATTAAGCTCTTTCACAGATATTCTATAATTTTATTTCCTCAGCAGCTTGCTGCAGGCAGAGCACAAAACGGAGGCAGGCACACATTAACAATTTTCCTAGAATGTTTCATCACATGGGGAGATACCATGTAGCAAAAGCAGCGCACAGAGTTAGCAACAGAGAATACTCCCAGGGCAGGTCCGCAGGGGAATCCTTACTAGGACAGGGAGCAAATCGGTCAGCATGTTAACAAAGGTTTTGCCTGGATTACAGAATTATCAACATCTTCACTGTATTTCTACTTTCACACTTATTTTTCTTTTTTGGGTGAATGTGTATTACTTAAGGCGGAAGTAAGTTATTAAAACAGACACACAGGAGATGGTGGTAGAGATGAGTGTGGGGCGTCATAGCCAAAGTGGGGAGAGGAGGGCGTTCAGGAAGGGGAGGGGCAGCAGGGGCCTGGAGCAGGTGTCAGAGCACAGCGGGGATGAGACATGGTCTGCCCTGCATGGGGGGAGGGGGGGCACCGCAGGGAGATTCCCAACCATTAAGGAGGGAAACCTGATGCAGGGAAAAGCAGCCTCGTATTTTAGAAACCTCTGACATTGATTTCTTTATGCTTTTCTGAAGTTTGCTTTTAAGAAGTGAAAAAAAATTAGCACAGTGTTTTGTTTGTTTGTTTTTGTTGTTTGCTACTGGAATTTTGAAAGATTTTAGACTATAGTCCACTTACCAGAACCTTCCAGACTTCTGACTTCTTTCATCCACAGGCTGAACCTTCACACCTGTGCTCACCTGCCTGCGCCTTGGAGGCACTGGAGTGTGTGATTGTGGATGGATGCTTTCTGTGCCTTGGTTAACTCAGGTGGTTTTGATCAAATGAGCCAAGACCATCAAGCCCCAGGGCCCAGCAGGCCCTCCCCTTGCTCAGGTTTTGCAAGACGTGGTGGAAGGTTTCAGTCATTGCTGGGCACAGACACCACCTGGGAAGGTAACTCGTCTTATGTTTTTGTCTTTCAGGAAAGCGGGTGTGCCTTGGAGAGCAGTTGGCCAGGTCCGAGTTGTTCATTTTCTTTACTTCCCTTGTGCAAAAATTCACCTTCAGGCCTCCAGACAATGAGAAGCTGAGCCTCAAGTTCAGAATGGGCCTGACCATCTCCCCAGTCCCCTACCGCATCTGTGCCGTTCCCCGGAAGTGAGGTTGTCCGGGAGGCGGGGGGAGGGAAAGCCGGAAGAATCCCCAGGTCCCCCCAAGGCCCTGGCGCCTGCTAAGTGAGGGAGCAGAATGACCTGCCTCTGAGGACGGTCCTAGGACTTAGACTCAGAGGAAACTGGATCCAAACCCCAGGTTTCCCATCCGCAGTTTAGCCCTGAGTGAATCAGTTATGTGGTGAGTGATTTGCCTCTTCACCCAGAAGATGAAGAGGGTAATGATTTTTCTCTAAAGGAAGAATCGCTGTAAAAATCAAAGGAAATAATGGATTTTAATGATTTGGAAACCATACAGCACATCATAAAAGTTGTGGCTGTGACCTGCCTGCCTCCTGCTTCCTTCCTTAGTCCTGGATTTGCTTCTGGTCTGTTGACGTGGCTCGGGTCAGATTTTGCCAAATGGCGCATGAGAGTTAGCAGTTGGACCCTGGGGCAGCCACACGTCGGCCAGCAGGGCTCTCAAGGGAAGATATTTTGTTCCTCCTTCCCCCCTATTATGTACCATCTTGACAGGAGTGGGCTGCAGGGGTTACAAGAACTGTTTCCTGACGCCCTCTGGCAGGGCCCACCCGGGGTTCCCGTGCCTTACTGTAGAACTAGGGCCTCAACAGTGCTTTTCAGGGGCCCTTTGACTGGCGGCAACCAGATGCAGCTGAAACTGAGAAAGGAAGAGGCCGGTTTTCACCTCCTGTTACACGTGTGCCGTCCCGCCCACAGTGAGAGCCTGACAAATGCTCTTTCTCTTTCTGCGTTGAATGAAAGTGTAGGGGAATGACTCCCAGGACTTCTCAGGACCTTGCTGTGTCCCAAGGTCAGCCCTGTGAACAGAGGGACAGGACAGGACTGGAAATGTCAGAAATTAGGCAGAAGCTTCACAGCTCAGATTTACATTACGAGGAATTCTTTGCCCTGTTTTAACTTTGTTCTCTCACAAGTACACACTGGTGTTCTGTCGTTACGTGTCTGAAAGTACAGTTCCAAATAGATTTCAAAGGTAGATGAGCTTTCTCTCTATTCTGATTAGCTGTGGCTTGAAGGACAGCATCCTGCAATACGGCTAATAAGTTAACATTTTCTTGGTAAAATCGCATGGCTTCCCCAAAACTACATAACTCTCGTGAGGTCTCCCTCTGTGGATAAACCAAACCTTAGGAATTGTTTTATCTGCTTGGAAAGAGTAGTGGAGCTGTGTTTTGGAACCAAGTCTCACATAAATCGTATTTTCAGGTCAATTGAACAGTTATTTTTTGAGCATGAGCCGTGAGCCAGATACACAGTGATTGAGATGGAAGGCACAGGGCTATCCGTTCTTCAGGCCCACAGTCTAGTGCTGGTGATGGTGGGGGGTGGGGGATTATAAACATACAAATCAATTCATAAATGTACAGTGGTGGTGCCCACTGGGAAAGGGTACCAAAGGAAACATTTCTGAAGCACACGCAGCCTATGGCGCCTTGCATCACTTTCGTCACTGCACAGCTGCCTTCAGGGGGAGGGATGTGTGTTGATAAGTCCCTCGTCCTCACCATTCTTGAAAACCAGTGTAATACATCGTGCCCTGGATTCTTTCCATATTTATCCCCCTTTTTTAAGTGACACAGAATGACTTTATTTTGACTCCATTTTAAAAAATAATTTAGCAACTATAAAATTCTAGTTTACCAGGATTCTTTTATCATGCTGAAGATTTCACCTTGTTTTCTGGCTTGCGCTGTTTCTGGCCAAAAGTCCATAAGAATCCATATACTTGGTCTCCTATTCGTTATGAGTCTCTTGTTCTCTGAGTATTTTTTAAAATTGTTTTCTTTGTCATTACTCCTCAGCAGTTTGGTTATAAAGTGTCTTCATACAGTTTTCTTTGTGTTTATCCTAATTGGAATTTTTTGACCTTATTGGATCCATGAGTTAAATATTTTCAGAAAAGTTGGATACATTTTTTTTTCCTTCAAATGTTTTTTATGAACTCACTCCCTGCACCCATACACCTGGGATTTCAGTCACACATGTATTAGATTCCATGACATTGACCTACTGGATGTTAAAGTTATGTTAACTTTTCAGCCTTTTTCTATCTGAACTTCAGTTTGGATAAATCTACCACCCTGCCTTCAAGTTCACTATTTTTTTTTCCCTGGAGAGTCTAATCTGCCATGAAGTCCATCCATTAATTTTTCATGTCATGTATTTCATTTCCCATTTGGAAGTACCAACTGATTCTCATTTTTACAGTTTATATTTCTCTTGACTGTGTTCATGTGTTCCTTCAAATCCTTGAGTATATTTATAATATTCATTCAAAAAATTTTTAGTTAATTCTATCATTTCTGTCAATTTATGTCTTCTACTATTAACTGATTTTCTACTGGGTATGGGTCACATATTCCAAATTCTTCATATGTGTGGTAATTATGGATTGACTAGGTAAATTTTTCATTATTGAGTGTTTGGATTCTGCTGTCTTCCTTTAAAGAGTGTCGAGTTTTGTTTTGACAGGCAGTTAATTTACCTGAAGAACTCCTTGTTTTATTTTTGAGGATTGTTTTAAAGCTTTGTTAAAGTGGATCGAGTGTAGGCCTCCGTCTCGGGCTCCTAAAGTATGATCTTTCCAGGGCCTCTTACTGGTGAATATGGTCTCTACCTCTGTTCACAGTTCAGGTAATTCCAACTGTGTGAAAGTTCTGGCAGGCATTAAGCTGATAGCTCTCTGGCAGTTGTTTTATCCCCGGTGGATGTCCTTTTCCCAGCCTGGTGGGGTCTCACCCTCCACGTGCGCAGTGCGCTATTCAGCTGATCTCTGAGTATTCATGGGGTTCTTGCTTGGCATAGCTTCCTCCTTTTGTTTTCTGCCCTGTAACTCCATCCATGGCAGTCACCCCAAATGCCAATCTATATGCTCTCATCTTAGCAAGATGAGACTAACGTGATCTCAATTACCACCCTTCTTGGAAGGGTGTCAAGTCAGTGCCTCCAGGCTGAAAATCATAGAGATTGTAGTTCATCTCTTCTGTTCCTTTCCCTGGGGACACAGGTCTGAACTAGCAGGTTTCCAATATCTGAAAACTTATTTTTCAATTGAGGTAAATTTGACAAACAGTATTGTACTCATTTCAGGTATGCAGCAAAGTGATCAGTTACATATACTTATTTTTCAGATTATTTTCCATTATAGCTTATTACAAGATATTCACTATAGTCCCCTGTGTTATACAGTAAATCCTTGTTGCTCATCTATTTTATGTATAGTAGTTTATTTCATTTAATTTCACGCTCGTAATTTATCCCTCCACCCCCGCCTTTCCTCTTGGTGACAAATATGTTGTTTCCTGTGTCCGTGAGTCTGTTACTGTTTTGTATGTAGAATCTTTTGTATTAATTTTTAGACTCAACATATAAATGATATCATATAATATTGGTCTTTCTTGTCTTACTTCACTTAGTATGATAAACTCTAGGGCCATCCATGTCACTGCAAATGGCAATTATTCCTTCTTTTTATGGTTGAGTAATAGTCCATGTATACATATGTTTATACCACATCTTCTTGAACCAATTGTCTATTGCTGAGCACTTGGATTGTTTCCAAGTCTTGGGCATTGTAAATAGTACTGCTATGAACTTTGGGGTGCATGTGTCTTCTGAAAGCTGATTTTCTCTACTTTGCCTGTTGTTCTGTTTGTTTATGGTACAAGGACTAATCTAGTACTAGCTACTTTATCCTAGCGTGAAACAGAAGTTTCATCACTCTGCTGTAGTTTTTATGGGAATTAAGATGGTCTGAAAACAACAAATATTTGCAAAAATGTTCATAATAATTCCTATCCATATATTTACGTGCCTTTCACTGTCCCTTTACAACATGTCTCCTCATGAGGTGGAATCTATTTACATTTCCCTTTAATTTAATGTGGCCTGCTGACTAGTTTGGACCAACAGAATATAATGAAGTGACTTTTCTGACCTAAGGCTGAAGAGACCTTTTGTGCTTCTGCCTGTTCATTTGGAAGCCCCATGAAAAAGTCAGGCAGGACCTTCAAGCAGGGCTACTACTCTCCTGCCAGCACCATCCGGTACTCCGGCCCAGTGGCTCTGTCTCACTTTTTGCCTCTGAAATGGCTTACTTCTAGGAAAGTGGAACTTACCCTTAAAATTCTATTGGTTCCCTGAGCTAACTCCTGATTGGTCCATTTGTAGTGCTTCATTTGCTTTGAGCTCACTCCTCATTGGTTGTCTCACTCCTGATTTGTCCATTTCCCTCTCTCCTGATTGGTTATTTCTCTCCCTCCTGATTGGTCCATTTCTACAGACTGGTCCTAATTAGTCAACATTTGTTACACCTTATTTGCATATGACGTTTCAAAGTGTAAACTGGCAGCCTATAAATGCCTGTGTAAAGCTACAGGCGGGGTCCAGAGCTTGGAGTGTTAACTCCTCTGGGACTGCTGGCATAATAAACCCGAGTTCTCCAACTCTCTGAGTGCTGCTTGGTCTCTCGCCTGGATCCAGGTTGCTGCCACAACTGAGCTATAACACTGAACTATGAAAGTGAGCTGTTACATGCTTTTTGTGACACTATCACCATTTAAATGAACCCATCTTAGCATGATGGGTGATGACAAACATGGACAAGTCATTTCTGTCCCATTGCTCAAGCTGACAGCTGGCCAACCACCAGAGCTGTGCTTAAGACCACCTGAGATGAGCTGGACCCAAGCAAATGCAGCAGCTTCATGCAGGCATGAGTGACCCCAAATGACACCAGAGCAGCCCAGCTGAATCCAGTCTAAATGGCCAACCTCAGATTTTTTGAGTTAAATGAATGGTTACTGTTTTAAGACACTACATTTTGAGATGAACTGTTACATAGCAGTTGTTCCTAGTACATTTTTTGAGGATTCCTTGTGGAAGAATATCTACCTTGTTCAGCGTCACAACAATACCTGGGATGTAGTAGGCTCAGACACTGGTGAGTTAATGACTAAGGTAGAATCACTGTGGGCTGGTGCTAGGTTGCACCTGTTGTCCAGAATCTGATCTCTGCCACTGCTCCTATGTCCTTGTCACCTCACTCCAATGCTCCATGCCTCAGTCCTGATGCCAGCTTGTTATGATCATGAACACAGTG